ACGATTGAATAAATGAGACGAGAGAGGAACTCGATCGTTTATCTATCCTGCACGAATTCACGTACCTCCTCGTCGACTTGAGCAGCTGACATGAAGCCTGAAATCAATCTGACTGAGTGACCGAAGATTCGCATTACCCAATGAATCATGACCACGCTGTTTTCAGAAGGTTGAATGAGTAATACCCTCGTGATGTCCAGAGTTCTCGAAGCGATGTACATCAGCATGAAAAAATACTCGGTGACGAAAGCGTAGCTGATGGTGTCGCTGAATGCTTGCACAGCTTTCGTCACGTCGTCGTGAAGTCGCGACAGCTGCCGGAAATCCCCGGATTCTTCCCAACAATGATCGACTTCCGATTCCCTCACTTTCCGCAGTAGAACGTCTCGATATTTCCGTTGCAACAGCGTGAAAGCTCGACAGAAGCAGATCAGCGTTACATCCAAGAGGCAGATGTCGGATGCCCAGAAAAAGACAGCGCAAAACGCGGCCAGAATCCCGCAACCCGTCGTCGGGCAACCATAAACCCTTCGTGATCCGTAATTGCCGAAATACACGTCAAGAGGTACGTTTTCCCGTACAATTGACACGGAATGCAAAACAATTTGCTCGTACACGGAACACGGGAACCAAATCAATCCCAATACGAATGCGAAGAAAACACGAGACTTATTCATGCACCGTTTCCCAGCGCATCTTTGTTTCCCCGGCTCGTCACTCATCTTATTCAATTGATCATCGATCATCATGACTTTGTTGATGACGTCTTCCAAGGCGCGGTAATTGAATATGAAATACAGTCTCGACGCGAAGGTAGATAAGTCGTAACTCCAGATGGCAACTGAACCGAAGAACTTGTTGATTTCGAGAACGTGAAAGCTGGTTTTATGTCTGTTTTGCAGCAATGCCCAAACATGAGCTGCAATGCCCATCATCCATAGCAAGAGGGAAATTTTGCTGAGCTTCAATTGAAAGCGCTTCGGCGAAGAAGGGTTTTCAGTAGCAATCGTTTCCTTGATTGAAAACGGAAAGCTTCCGGTCACACGACCCATAAAAATCACAGGATCGAAAGAACGTAACACTTCCATGTTTGCATGGAAAATATCCTGGCGGGTGATCAGAAGGTGTGGATGCGAAGCACTCCTCAATTCTCACTGATTCCTGCCATTATTGTGGAGCTTTTTATGAGGCCAAGAACAAAAAGGCTTTTAGGTGAATAGGATGAGCTTCATCGATTTATTCTTTTTGTATCATCGTCAGATGCAGGGTGTTCTAAAAGTTTCCTGTACAGGGTGGCCTGTAATACATGTGATTCTAATAACATCGAATGAAATCCGTACTTCTAAAATTAATTACCGCGATCCCTCATTTAAGACGCACATTACCACGGAAAAAAAGTACAGGCAACAGATCCCCACCTAAGATGGACAAACCAATTTTCAGAATACTATTTCCGCAAATTGTCTTGCATAAAAGTGTTCTAACCAGCAGCTGAGAAAAGATAAAACGTACTAAATTAGTCGAATTTATGAAAATGAATGCAACTCAGATGCAAATTTCATTGCTTTTGCCAAATCAAATCTTTATTTACTATTAGTTTCCCAGTTTAAATGCACATAATTATCCTTCATGGAAGAATTATCCCGTCTGGAGACTTTCTTGCGAATTTATTTTCTCTATATAGTATTGCACCAAACAAATTTTCAAAAATGGTGTGTCATCCGCATAAGATACGCACCACGCTTGTTTTTTACTGAAAATATAGTGTTTAATACTCTTGATATTGCGTAAAACAAAGTAAGTAGAGTGATCGTCAGAAACAGCATTTTTAGTTTACATGATCATGGTTCAGACTTCAGGGTGGAATTTAATCAAAGAACGAAGATTGTTTCTTTCAAATTTCCTGCTTCAAGAAATACAGTTAAAGCCTGCTTGGCATGCAGCATATAAGTATACTCATCCAATTTCGAGAACTTTCTGCGTTCATTTCAGCTCTCTTTGAAATTTACATTTAAAAGACTGACTCTTACCGACGGAGAAACTTTTTGACACCTCACACATCAGTTGCTCGCTTGCTGCCGCCATCCCATGACTATGGCGAGGGGTGTGGCATAAAAAGTTCGAGCTTATAAAGCTGATTGGACCATTAAACCGGAAGGTTCTTGCAACTTCGCAGTCATTTCCGCATGCTTCCGCAACGGGATGTCAGATCCTCGAGCAGAAATGTACGCGGAAAACATCTCAAAAGAAGAGAGGATATATTTCCGAAGATACTTGCGATTAGCTTCGCATTAGAATGTAGCAAAAAAAAAATGTATGCGGGGGCCCCATCATTTTCTTAGAAATCAATTGATTTTGAAAATGAGTGCGATGCTGTGTCATTTCCCATATTTTTGCGGCCGTTTTCTCCCTTGCTCGTCCGGTAGCGGGTGATTGATGGCTACATTTTCCTCAGCCAGGATATGGCCTCAAGTCGTAGAAATGCTGAACTTCGATTTACGCGAGTCTGGAAATATGGGATACATAAATTCCGCTTTGGGAATGGCAGAGGAGACGGTCCCCTCATAAATTCTGATTTTCAAAAGGCATTTCGGTCGGCGCCCCGATTATACGTATATGTTCATCAATCGTTTCATAACGACGTAAATAAAATGCGTCGTCGGCGTACCAAATACGGAATTCCTACGGTAAATGCATTTTGGTTTTCTTGAATTGCAGTACGGGGCCCGAGATGCGGACGTAATTGGTTCTTGGGCCTTGCCTCTATGTGGAATCGTTCGTGCGACAGTCAATGGAAACAAATTTAATTGGTTCTTCTGTTCATCAAAAAGTTGGAATGAAGTCCCCAAAAATTGAACAACACTTTTCCTCAACTTTGAGATGCAGAAAATAACTATATCTTGAAGAAAACTATACAGAATCTGATCTCTATGGCATTAGAAGGAGCCCAAGAATCAAAGAAAAAGTCCAGGTATACTGAGCACATATGAAGGAAAAAACTTTGAAAAAAGGAGGGCAAAATTAGTTCGTTCTTGATCATGAATCAGGGTATTTATATACTGAAATATGTTTTTAGTTTTTTAAATATTAGTAGCTCAAATTGGTTGAGATGCATGTTTAAAATTTATTTTTCTTTTTGTAGAAATGTTGGACAGCCCTTTAAAAGCCCTAAAGCCCCGTCTAAAAAGTTTAAAGTTCACAGGGACTCGCTCAGTTTAGCAAGTGTAAAGCCTCAAAGGCATACAGCCCAAGTGACACTCGTCTTCGAGCTACCTCCCTTGTGTGATATCAACGTTACAGAAATATTTTTCCGAGAAACCTCGGGTTTTTTCAGTGGACTCATTCACTTGTTTTACTGTACCTGAAAACTATCGATGTAGGCCATCCTTACAGATAATTTTCTTTAAAAATCGGGTTTTCTTCTTCATTCTGCTTATTGTTAGCTCAGCTGCTGGGCAGAATCCAAACGAAGCCCGTTGCTCCTGATGGTGCAGCCTTTATTTGACCTGTCTTCAGCACATTATCATTCTCCGCTCGGAAGCCACGCCCTTCCTGGTAACGGACTGGGTCGAAACGGCGCATATCTTATACAGGTCACCCAGGGTTGCCACCGTGCTTTTCTCGGGACACCTGAGGTGGTTGAAATGTCTCTTCTTTGTTTCATGGGGTATCAAATTCCTCCCGGTCCCTAAAATACTCGAAAATATGTATCGTAAGAAGAGAAAAACTATGATTACTTGCCAAAAAAAATCTTCCCCTCAGACGTGGTTTATTCATTTAATAAACCTCGTAACCATTTCCGAATACATGATGCAATATAAGTCCTACCCCAAAATAAACCCTTTTCAACATATTGTATTTCGAATATATGACAGGCTCTCTGATTAAAATTGACTTTCATTATGCTGAATAGGTTTCATGTTTTTTGCAGGAATTTCAAATATAGAAGACTTATGTTTCACATGAATCGCAAATATATGCTGCTTCTCAGCATTTGGAGATTCCTAAATTTAAAATGTTGAAGATCTAGCGAATGTGGAATGTTTTCATCAGAAAATAACTCAAAAAGTTGAAAAACGATGAACGCTCGAAGAAAAGATGATCACTAGATGATGAACACGGTTTCCTAGCTGCAGTAGTGTATTCGAAACATTTGTTTCGATAATCAATCCGCTATTTTCGTCTTATTGTGTAGTCCGGATCAAGTCTCAACTCTCGAAGAAAAGATGATCACTAGATGATGAACACGGTTTCCTAGCTGCAGTAGTGTATTCGAAACATTTGTTTCGATAATCAATCCGCTATTTTCGTCTTATTGTGTAGTCCGGATCAAGTCTCAACCGATATAAAAAAGAAACACTCAGCCAAATGTTTCTTCCTATGTAGAAAATTTTCTTGCCCATCGTGGCTTTGGTTGGTTCGAAATCGTCACTTTCAATCGGTTTCACGATATGAAAGCGAGCTCCGGTACTTATTTCAAAATGAATCACGTTCAAAGGAAAATTAGGATCTCCTTGAATAAAAATGCGACATATTCTTCGTGTTTCAGTACTGTAATGCATTCAGATATTCAGATTCGCTTTTCTTAATTTCCGAGCTCGTGGCTGAAGTAATTTAGACGGCGACGAGACAGCTTCTCTTGATTCAAAGGCATTGAAATCAGAAGCTGCGTGAAGGTAAATCCGTTCCATGAAATTCGACGAGATTTTCATTGATTTTCCACTCTGACGTATCTCCTCCTCCTACTGTGCACGCGTCAGGATAAAATGTTCCTTAGCTCCGTAACCGAAACGGTACAAGGATGGAAATTCTGAGAGGTAACGGAATTTCCCATCTTTTTTTATTTTAGGAATGCTTCGTGCAAAATCCTCGCGTGATGGATGATGTCTGAAGTCACCATGCCTTGGATCGGGAACAAAGAAGAGAAGAAAAAAGAAACATCAGTGAAAGAAGGGGAAATAAAATACGTCGGTGGGCGCCAACTTCTTGTTTGCAGTGCCCACCTAGATTCCGCAGCGAACTCAGTGCCGACGACTGCCCGACGAGGTTTTCCTTTTTCCTCATCTCCGTCGCAGATCTGGAAAGCTCTGAAGTGACACTCGGGGCTACATTTAAGCAGACGTAACTTCGTTTGCCAGCAGGCGATGGGCAACAGGAAATCAGTTTTTCTTCCGGAGCAGCTCGAGGAGTACCAAGATGCTACGTTTTTTACTCGGAAGGACATTCTTCGGTGAGTGACATCGTGGGCCAAGATTGAAACGGAAAAATATTCGGGGGAAACCCGCCAAATTCATTCTTGTGGGTACTAATTGAGCAAACGTTAAACCCCCAACCTATTACAGTGCCAAATGAGAGAAAAAAAACGGATGCGGTATTTAGCAAGTGTTTCAGGGTGCAGAAATAAAGTTACTGCGATTGAAACGCACGTCAATTTGACGGCGATAAATGGAAATGAAACCGAGTCGTGGATGACCGCGATCGATAAATTTACCTTCAATGAAAAGTATTTAGTCGATTGCATACTGAGGAGTTCAACAGCTACTCGTCAAAATCATCTCAAAAGCTATTGAATAATAACTCAAGCAGACTAAAACTTAAGTTTACATTACCAGTTCATATCATTTTCTTATATGAGTCTAAATCAATGAGATAATGCGCGGAATCGAAAAAAACAGATGAATTCTTAATTAAGATCAATCTCTAGAACTTCTTCTCGATTTTCAAATATATCCACGAATTGCAAAGTTACGAATTTTAAAGAATTGGAGAATCATTCAATAAGAATCGAATCATACGTTTAGGTGTTCAAAACTAAACCTAAACATCACCAGCAATCACAAACAGAAGCACCCGTCAAAATAACTCATTCATGACATGGAAAAAAGAGAACGGATACAAATGTGGCTGACTTATTTTTCATTAATTTTTGTTCGACCAGATTACGGCAAAATTGTTCATGCTGACGTCCACATAGTCCGCTAATTAATTCTTGAAATAAAGGTTCTTATACTGTATAGTGTATACGAATGGATTTCCATGACTTCTGAGAGTTTTCGAATTTGTATGTCTTGCGACTGTATACAAAAGTGGAATTCATTTATATTTTCGATTTCAAGTCAGTGATGCTCAGAAGAAAGATCGAACTAGATTTTAAACTGGCGAGAAAGAAATGCTCAGTTGCTGGGGTAAAATTCGAGAAGATTTCGTTCACGCAAAGATGAGGATCGTATGATGGATCCCTCCGGATTATGTTACGCATCCCGATGCGGAAACGGGGGTATACAAGGAAATCTGCATTCTGGCTATTGCAACTATTCATCCGTGTCATGCATTTGACTTAAATTTATAAAGGTCATTGAAACCGGCAGAGATTACGCTGAACAATAAAAATGCACCATGCATTCAAAAAAAGATGCAGTGATGAAAATTCCAAACTTTTTCCCCTTGAAAAATTCCCGTCAATTTATTCCGTAGCCTTGCAATCTACGGATATATTGATTTCCCGGAGAAAAAGAAACATTGCGGAGCTCTGTATATACACGGAAAAATGCAAGGGGACACCATCGTGAAGTATAATGTAATGCAAGCATAATATAATTTTTTTTCAGGGCGCACAGACGCTATCAGCAACTCTCTCCAGGCATCGTTCCAGATGTCATGACCGGCCAAGAAGCGCAAACTGTCACCGTTTCTTTCTCTCTGCTGGAAAATCTACCCGAATTGAAGGTACGTACCCCGGGTTTCTGTAATTGCATTGGGTCTCACATCCTGTCGAAAGCTCGCGGAATAATCTCAGCCTACGTGTCGACGCACGAGTGAATTTGTGAGAAAACCCGCAGACAGCCGAATGAAGCTATCCGCGCGCGGGATTAATCGTGCCCTCGGAAATAAAGAACGAGGGAAGGTCAGGACCCGGTATATACGTATGCTGCACGAGAAGATTCAATCTGCTAGCTGCTGCTGGCGAGACACATGTGTCATAATGGTGTCTTCAAAAGTTTCTATAGCGAGTCGGTTCTCCAGCAGAAGAGGTAAACCAGGGCTTTTCTTGTGCCCACGTAGGCACCAGGCAGATTGAGTCACAGGCAAGATTTCCAAAATAAAACGTCAGGATTTCGACGAAGTGAGCAAATTGGTATAAGTTCTACGACTCTACTGTACACAGCATGCAAGAGGTGGGTGGAAAAGATCAAAAATGTCACAATGAGAAAAATAACTACATATTTTTAGGCAAATTAAGGTAACAAAAATCCGACTTCAGCAGCAATATGAAAATGAAAATATTCCCATCCTCACAATCAGAAGGCAGAGCTGAAATAAATATAATAGCCACCTCCTTAAAATAGAGAAGTACGCGGATAATGAAGTGATTTGGGGTTCATTTGAAACAACTTCAAAATAAGAAAGCCCAAGACGTAAAAAATTAACACGCATGCAAATTATGGGTGGTTCATACAGATTATAAATCCTCGAGTCGAGAACACATCAAAGTTTACCTGGAAAACCAATGCATGACAATTTCCGGATACTGCACTCAGCTGCACGAACTGAGGTTTCATTTGAATTGATTCATTTAAAAAAATGACGACGTCTCATTTCATTTGTGTTCATCAGCATGCAGATATATTATGATTATCGATCTTACATCAGCGACACGTGCTGCTGAGAAAAAAAAAGTCTGGGGCTTCTATTAACTTCGACAGAGACGAGAAAATTTGCTTACAGGAAATAACAGAAAAATATTTTGTAAACACCTCATTCGTCGCGTACCCACTCGTCGAAATTCTTCTCCAACTTCGATGAGCTTTCACTTCGCGCCCCGAGGGCACATTGAGAAACGCCAGAGGTTAATATCAATGATGTAGCCAGTGGATAAAATTATTAAATAATTATTATTTTAAGTTTACAAATGGCAGCCATTATTAATCCGGTGATCGATCGTCACTTTTAGGCGCATCGACAGACGCAGGAAGATAAGGGAAAATTCATTCCATGCTCATCTTCTAGGAAAACCCGTTCCGAAAAAGGCTTTGTCAAGTTTTCTCGCGAGAAAGAACAGGAGACCTTACTTTCGACGAATTTCTCGACATGATGTCAGCTTTGAGTGAGGATGCTTCACATGACATTCGAGTCGCTTACGCTTTCAGGATGTTTGGTGAGTCACTTGAAACTGTTGAAAGTATTTCAATTCGAAAATGTTTCCGGGAATATAAATACAAGAATATTTATATTTATGTGGTCTGGTGTCTACCAGCTTAACAGAAAATAAAAAATAATGCATGCCCAATTTATTTACATCATTTGTCTTTCTCATCGAACCCTTGCTCTTCATTTTCGAATCCTGGCACATGACTTGAAAGGATTCCGATACATGTAATTTTAAAAGCATGTACAGTAGTTAATCAACAACCACGCCTCAGGTGAAATAAAGTAGAAGAAAAACTGTATCATCCATGTGCCTCTCATTAACCATGGATGGGACCAGGAATGGAAATGCTTACCCAAGTACTAATTTTGTTCATCCAAAACTTCATGATGTTGACATGATTTTTGCAACATTTTTATTTTGTATGCATAGGCAAAATGAAACACCGTACTTCCATTAACCCATTACCTGCTGCAGCCCCTATTTGGAACTCAGGTGCTCTTTGTCCCCCCCCCCCCCCAAATACCATCCCAACAAAAATTATGCAAAAATATGCCAAGGCTTTGCAATGAAGTTATCTACAATTGAAGACCTCATTTGCCAATTTTTTTTCTTTTTTTCATTCCACGGCAACATGTTTTCTGAAGCCAACTCACCAATTCCATTGGAAAGTTGAAACATTTTTTTTGCAATTCAAGAAAAGTATTTTATAATGCAGCTAAACTCAATTTTGTATGTCCTTGTAGCCTGGTTAGTTCTTAATGATTTGGCACATTTTATTTAATTTTTTTATATTTTTGTCAATCACAACAGGTGCAAAAACCTTGATCCCCAAATGGGGCTCATGGCAGGTAGGATGTAAAAAATAATTTTCAACATTTCCTGGAACTTAATCAAAAAAGTTCCTTAGCTTGAATATACAGTAACTAACTGCTGTGCTGAATATGCAAAAGTAATGATAAAATATGCAAAACGAAAAAAAAATGTTCTTTTAAATGCAATTTTCAATTTTCCTTTCTTTGATATGCACCATTTTTCTGAAATTTTTTTGAAGATACCCCTAAGCTTTTGAACTTCATCAAACAGCTGGAAATTATTTAAAAATTACTTGGTTTGTAGCCTGGATGATCATAGTTTTCTAGCTGTTACAAAAAAACTTTCAGAAATGTTTGGAAAATCATTAGAGCATTTCATTCCTGGTGGCATTCTAGCATCACAACGTATCAGAAGATACATTTGCACTCACATTCAGCTTAAAATAATACAATTTAGTTTTGAAAAATGAAAAAAAATATTGTTTTACAATGTGTAGGTTTTTCTTGTTGTTATAAAAGAAGATGGTACCTGCCATGAGCCCCATTTAGGGATCAAGTTTAAAATTCAAATATTTGACTAAATGTTGAATTTTAAAAAAATTTTCCCAGCTTATGTAAATGTAAATGAAGTGAAAGGAAGCAAAAATGGGTACATAGGAAATTTGGCAGTTAATTAACATCATTTGCCTGATGAATATTGACTCAGCATGACCCTCAACCCTCAGAAGTCAAACTGTACCCAAATTTCTTCCAAGACTATGACAACGACGGATTCATCGGGCCTGGTGACCTGCAAGCTGCAACAAACGAACTTACGAACGGCGGGCTTGCCGACGACGAAGTCAAGTTGATTGCCCTCAAGATATTGGAGGAAGGGGACATCGATGACGACGGGAAACTATCGCAATATGAATTTCAAAACGTCATCGAGCGCTCACCGGATTTCATGACAAACTTCCACATTCGGTTTTGAATTCGGTGCGAAAATTGTGACCAATCCATGAACATTCCGCAGATCTTCTCGATTCGGTATGCAAGTCTCTTCTCTCACATTCAGACATTCACAAAATGTCTGAAAGTTGTAATTTGCTGCTTTCAATGAGGAAGAGCGTGAAACACTGTACTGTACCTAATCGTGAATACGGGAAACCATCCACGACGTAAAACCCTCCAATAGCTCACCTCGTCATGTTGAGTATAGACGCGTGAAATGTAACACTTCCAGACTGGCGGAGTATATTAGTTTATTGGCCACTTGCATGATAGAAACGCAGATCAATGATGTATAAAAACTTGAAAAAGTGATAAAAACCGCAATGGAAGGCGGGCAATCAGAAGAACAAAAGCAAACAGAAAGAAATAAGAAACTAGCAGGGTAGGATGGCCGTAACAGGTTCAATAAATTCTGGCAGAACTTCATATAATCATAATCTCATGAACACTGCGTACACCGAAGATCTGAATTCTACACAAAAGCTCGGAATGCCTGAAGAGTCTATTCAAGCTGACCAAAGAACTCCGACGACGATCAAGGCCTTCTTTCTTTTCTCTTTTATAACTCGACTCCCCACGTTCCGTCGGGAAACAGCTGCCTCCCATTCCGCCCCCTCTCAATTTTTGGATCATTACACACATGGCACAGAAGTCTCGTGAATAAACCGTACGAACATGTGGCTCGAAAATGCCCTCCCGTTCAGGCGTATGATGCGGCATGCTCGGAGAAAAACCCAGGCAAGAGAAACCGATCGCCGAAATTAAATTAATCCACACTGGCAACACATCGATCGCATCCAAGGGCCAATATCCAATTCGAGATTCCAATGTTACACAGAAAAAAAAATTCATCCTCCCATCCTCGTCTCCTTTTCACAGGCAAGAATAGATCAAGTTCTCAATCGTACTAACTCAAAAGGTACGCGTTCAAATAAACGTCGAAAAACCACGAAACGCAAACAATAAAGCTCATTGGCAATAAGCTGATTCAGAATATGTACATGACTCCGCACAAACCGCCGTGTCCTCCTCCGACGGGGAGGAGAATCCATAAAAATCACATCAAAACGCCGACAGGAAATCAGGGAACACAAGCCGCTACTCCGTCATCCCGGTAAACACTATTAGAAGAATATCCCAACTGTTTTTCCCTTCTGATTCTCGCCCCCCGCCCCACAAGTGATTCAACATCAAAAGTTGTTCCAATACGAATACAGTGAAATTCCGCTTCTGGTGGGCCAACTGCAAAATAGCAATCACGAAGGATAATAGCCCAATCCTTCAGACATGACGAACGAAGAAACTTGCTTGGGGAGATCATCATTCGAAAAGACGACTGAAAATGTCCTCTGAGCAAGAAGCCAGGAATACCTCAAACAGTGCAGCTAATATCTCACGCGAGACCGTAATATTCCTTTCGGAAGAGAAGATCGAATCTTTGCGATAACAACAAAGGAACTAACCACAAGCAAAGCAACAATAAAAAATAAAGTTAACCCAGGGATCACAGCCCGCATCAAAAATAAAACCACAAGGAAACATGCGTCCAAATCATTACCTTTTGAGTACTCAGGGACGGCTAACAGACGCAGGATCAACTCATTCCCACTGGAAGATACACTAGCTCTCCGCGGCCGTGATATGTCACTCGGGACCGCTTCAACTCAAATACCCACGCAGCCAGATTTGAATTAAAAAAAAAAAAAAAAAAAAAAAAACACAAAAAAAANAAAAAAAAAAAAAAAAAAAAAAAAAAAAAAAAAAAAAAAACGCACAAAAAAAAAACGCACAAAAAAATTCGGCCTCGACCATCTATCACAACGTTTGCGACAACGTAATTGTAATGCCGGGTCACTCAAGGAAACGGTAAACAAGAGCCGGACTCACTGAACCCTTTCGAAGATTAACCCCGCTGAATGTCACTGCTCAAGAGGATTCAACAAAAAAGTACAAAATCGAGCTGCGAACTCAAGAACCTCAACATTACACAACGTTGGTCACCATCCGCGTCAACCGATACTGTCCCTTCGGAAAACAAACCTGATCTCACGCCGCAGTCACCGCATCTCTGGCTACAAATAACCACCTCCACACGCAACGAAAGAAAAAAGCGCGCCGCACACAACATTCCGCAAACACTTCAATAAACTTCTTCCACACTCCCATTCGCAACATTCCTACACTCTACTGAGCCAATGCAGTAACTGGGGAAACTCTCTAGAAGATACACTTTTGAGGCTCCACAGCATTGGTGCGCGAAGAGAGATTTCTCTTGTCTCAGATCCTCGTTCACGTAGCAAGAGCGAGAGGGAATGTTGAGTTCTCCAGTCCGCGAATTCGTCCGGATTTCTTTTTTTTTTCCCCGCATGGATAAACCTCACTCATTCGCCGCCCCGTCAATGGGGATTGAGATTCTCGTCACCCGCGTCTCACATCGAAACACTTGGTATTGCTAAGACAGGAACATAACTTGACGAAAATTGGACAAAACATGATCAGATACATGGGCAGCGGGCGCCCGCGAACATCACGGCTGAAAGACAAAGGCGATTCCAGCAAGAATAGTGCTTCTTATCCCGTTGATGTAGCAGACGGCAAGGATCAGTGTACATCTTCTTCTTCGCTCTCACCCTGTCCGTACATGTCAGCAAGTTTCTGGAAGCGCGGACCCCAGCCGTGAAGGAATTCGAAATCTTGCTCCTGATCGTCCGCTCCTATTCGCGGAAAAAGAGCGAGTTCCATGAACACCTAATAAAAACCTTTCCGACAAAAGCCACTAGTCTTCACCAGCAACCGCACACTAAACTCTCGCCAACAAAGCGATTCCTCCCATTTTAAAGGTTTAAATGTACACGTACAGTACTACTTTGATAATTTCGTGACCTTAACGTCATTTATTCTGGAGCTCATGCTCCCAAATATTTACAACCATCAAAAAGCCTCGACAATGTTGAAAAACAAGAAGCATCGAAAAGTTCATCTTTGAGAGAATCGAACAACGGACCAATGGAACGTAAAACCTCTTCAAAAACAATAAAAAAACAGTAGTTTCCGAAAATCGCAATGAATGAGATTCCACGCGGAAGCAAAAAAATATTCAGCGCAGAAGAATTTATCATGATACACATCAAGGCCGATCATTGAAAAGTAACGCAGGAGAGGTTACAAAAATACAAAAAGCAATGAGAGCAGCATTAAACACGTTTACAAACGTAAAAGAACGTCGATAAAATATTGCAGTCAGGTATAACATGCCACAGCGGGTAGCGAGTTGCATCCAAAAATCAAAATCACCCATCGCTCAATTTAAGGGCTTTTCTACTCGAAAGACAACGGTTGAAACCATTCGCCTCACGCAGTTAATTTTTGGATGTCTCGAACTGCCCGCGCGGAGAATGCAAACACAAAAAGAGAAACTCAATCACGGCAAACTCAAACCAATTTCAGAGCTAGAAAAGATGCCAGCAATCTAAGGTACGGGAAAGAACTCAGTGATCCGAATGCAATTCTTTAAGCGGGGAACAAAGCAAGGGGCGAGACACAAAGCAAGTCGCTTACCTGACACGCAACCCCGTGCCCCGTAATACTTTCTTTTTACTCTGATGTCCGATAACGAGCGAAGATAGAGAGAAAGAAAGAAAAACAAGTTTATTATGATTGGATTTAGCAACCAATTTCAATTCTCAATTTTTCAGCGTTCTACTTTCAACCATCGACCCACTCTGTTTAATCTCATTTTTGGATGCAACTGACTGGTAAAACGTTGATCACGCGCGCGTTTCAACGTAAATTTAGAATACGGTCGAATTTCTTAAAACCGCATTCCCAAATGCAGGGAAGGGGTACGAAGAGTTATGCGATTGATCCAGCAAGAGAAAAAGAAAACAGACCTGAAGCCAGTGACGATAAAGAACCTGCAGTTGAGCCGCCACCTTCATAAGCGTAGTTGCGGAGATCATCATATGGTGGTGCGTTTGGATCATTGTCAGCTTTTGATTTAAGATCATGGATGAATAATCCCACGTCGGGATGGGGACCACCAGCATCTACAAGGACAATTAAAAATGCAATTATCGATAATCTGTCCACCTGTAAGTGATCAAGTTTGAAGAAAATCATCCGAGTGAAATTGACCCGTTACCTAATCATCGTGTGACATAGCGTATGTGCCGTATTCAACACGTTCGTCACCAACTCTGAAGCATTCTTTAACATTACAGTACTACATATTTAAAATATTTGTAATTAATCTTCGGAATTAAATAGAAAAACCAATTATTCTGGAAGAGCACGACGGTACACACTGTATTTGCTTTTCCGTGAGTACTTCTAGGTGCAACCAATTTCGCTTGTGCACTTCTCCGAAGTCTCCCATCAATTTCGGCTAGGGTACTATTGTAGGAAATATTCACTGGAGCTGATGATAAAACTAAAAAAGCCGACGGACTTACCGGAAATTATTGAAAACAAATTTCCTGCGGATGGACTCTCTCAACGACGAAATTCAAAACAAAAAAAATGGTTGTAGAGACATACTACAACATGGGGAGAGACCCCTATGCCCGTGGGACCGAAAAAAATTCGTTACACAGAGAAAATAGTTGGTAGAGAGCGTCCACCAAAACTACTAATTTTACTTTTCGATAAGTATAATTCCCTCTTGGATTTTCTTCGATATTTTTTCCTTCCATTTTACAATAGCCTCAGATGTATGCACTTACACATCGGCCTCGGAGTTGTTATGGGCCCTTGCAATCCGGGTTTGACCCCCGGAGCGCCGTCTACTGGGATTTGTAATGGCGTGATGTCGAACGCAGTCATGTCGTCTTCGCCACCCCCTTCATCATCGTAGTTTATGATGTTCTCTCTGACATCATCATCTGGACCTGGATATTTGATGGCAGCTTCTCTTCTTCGGTTGTAAACGACGAACACCAGGACTAACACTTTTGATGCGAAACGAGAAGAATGAGCATTCCTCAAACCAACAAAAATACATCCGAATATCACGCCAAAGTCCGCCACCAAGTTGCCAGTGCAAAATTGAGAAGTAAAAAACACAGGAAACTAGCGCCATGAAACGAAAACCAAAGAACACAAAACTCACATAATAAGGCGACAATACACGTAACAACAGCATAAATCATATTCTCCGATGGTCGCAGAACTGTGGAAAGCACTTCGAGATCGCAGTCCTTGCCCATATAACCGGGTAAACAATGGCATATGTAATGCTGTTTCCCAGATACGTTCTCACAAGTGCCTTCGTTTTGGCAAGGACTATTCAAACATTCGTCCAGATCCTCACAAATGCGACCCGTATTTTGTGTGACCCTCTGCACCATACCAACAGGGCAACTAAAATAAAACGTACGCCAAATCAGGATACGAACGAATCACCACGAATGAACGCAAATAAGAAATACAGTGCTTCAAATCTTCGAACAACTTCACGATCAAAATTTGCATGAAACGACAACTGAATATTTCTAAGCCGAAAGAATGCACAGTATTTACACCAATTAATCATCAGAAGCAGATGATCCGAATGACTTCCGTCTTCTGTGCAATCACAGATCAAACATTTTTGGCATCCACCGTATTTACTCGAGTACCATACGCACCTTTTTTTTCTAAAAATTCTAAGGAAAAATGGGGTGTGCGTCATAGGTGGGTATATAATTTTTGTTTTATAAGTGTAGCTGTGTATTATACTGCATTTGATTCTAATGGGACATTTTGGACCAATTTCAAAAGAAAAACTCATTTTAATGGAAATAATTGAAAACTGGTTGAATTAATTAATGTCGTAATTCAAATGTGGGTGTTTTATTCTTAAAATATTGCAGTTTTAGAGTCGCTAGAAATTAGGCGCGGGTCATACTCGGGCGTTTTATAAAAAAAAAATTGACTGAAAACCCCTGGTGCGCATCTTACTCGACGGCGCGCAGTACACGAGTAAATTCAACTAATGGTGACGTTGAAATCCTTCATTGAAAAAAATTCTGGACTACAGTATTTCATTGCGAAGTTGCTCGTAGATAGGTGTTAACGCGGGCCAAGAAGCTGGCCCGCGTTGTCGATTGTAACAACAACAACGATGACGACGGAACATGCAACAGCGAGCCATGCAAAAGGCAACTTCGTCGGTGGCGGCGTGAAGACGGGCGGCAAACCGCTGACTTCTCACCGAGAATCTTCAGGAGGCACACANCAAAAATACATCCGAATATCACGCCAAAGTCCGCCACCAAGTTGCCAGTGCAAAATTGAGAAGTAAAAAACACAGGAAACTAGCGCCATGAAACGAAAACCAAAGAACACAAAACTCACATAATAAGGCGACAATACACGTAACAACAGCATAAATCATATTCTCCGATGGTCGCAGAACTGTGGAAAGCACTTCGAGATCGCAGTCCTTGCCCATATAACCGGGTAAACAATGGCATATGTAATGCTGTTTCCCAGATACGTTCTCACAAGTGCCTTCGTTTTGGCAAGGACTATTCAAACATTCGTCCAGATCCTCACAAATGCGACCCGTATTTTGTGTGACCCTCTGCACCATACCAACAGGGCAACTAAAATAAAACGTACGCCAAATCAGGATAAGAACGAATCACCACGAATGAACGCAAATAAGAAATACAGTGCGTCAAATCTTCGAACAACTTCACGATCAAAATTTGCATGAAACGACAACTGAATATTTCTAAGCCGAAAGAATGCACAGCATGTACACCAATTATTCATCAGAAGCAGATGATCCGAATGACTCCCGTCTTCTGTGCAATCACAGATCAAACATTTTTGGCATCTACCGTATTTACTCGAGTACCATACGCACCTTTTTTTTTTCTAAAAATTCTAAGGAAAAATGGGGTGTGCGTCATAGGTGGGTATATATTTTTTGTTTTATAAGTGTAACTGTGTATTCTACTGCATTTGATTCTAATGGGACATTTTGGACCAATTTCAAAAGAAAAACTCATTTTGATGGAAATAATTGAAAACTGGTTGAATTAATTAATGTCTTACTTCAAATTTGGGTGTTTATTCTCAAAATATTGCAGTTTTAGAGTCGCTAGAAATTAGGCGCGGGTAATACTCGGGCATTTTATAAAAAAAAATTGACTGAAAACCCCTGGTGCGCATCTTACGACGGCGCGCAGTACTCGAGTAAATTCACCTAATGGTCACCTTGAAATCCTTTATTGAAAAAAATTCTAGACTACAGTATTTCATTGCGAAGTTGCTCGTAGATAGGTGTTAACGCAGGCCAAGAAGCTGGCCCGCGTTGTCGATTTTAACAACAACAACGATGACGACGGAACATGCAACAGCGAGCCATGCAAAAGGCAACTTCGTCGGTGGCGGCGTGAAGACGGGCGGCAAACCGCTGACTTCTCACCGAGAATCTTCAGGAGGCACACAAGAATGGCCGCCAAGGCACTCGTGGACAGACGCAAAACCTGGCCTTCCACGAGGGAACCGCAAGTCAGGCCAGTGTAACCGTCCCGACAAAGGCACTCGAATCCGTCTTCGATATTTCGACACGTGCCACCGTTTAAACACGGATCGAGCAAGCACTCGTCTTTATCGACGCAAGTGCGCTCGTCTAACCCTTTCTCCTTTCCTTTCGGGCACCTTGAGGCGCCACAGACATCGAACACGGAAGAAACCATGTATTAGCCAACTTGTCGAGGAAACAATGAAAGAAGGACTCCGATGGACTTCGCCAGAACATTCTCAATAAAAACTTCACACGGAAATGAACAGACGCGATGGACGTTGATTTCCCCGCAACCGAACATGCGTTCAACAAATGAACAGAAATTTTGGCCAAAAACGGAATGAAATTGGTTACTCGAGCGGAAAATTGAACAATCGACTTCAAAATTCCCCTTGCTGGCCAGATCTGGTTTATTGCTACTTAGCTTCTGACGAGGAGCAATTAACGCCGATTCAAATAATAATTGTACAGCGTGGTAATGTGGGAGAGAATGTCAATTTGTGTGTGAAGGACATAGTACCGTATTGCTTCTATATACAGTTGAACCTGAAATACCTCCTGAGGAGCAATTAACGCCGATTCAAATAATAATTGTACAGCGTGGTAATGTGGGAGAGAATGTCAATTTGTGTGTGAAGGACATAGTACCGTATTGCTTCTATATACAGTTGAACCTGAAATACCTCCCTTTGTCAATTTTTTTCAAAGTCCCTGTCCGAATTCCCTTACAAACAATGCATAGAACACCTCCCTAACTCGAAGGCTTTCCTCCTCAACCCTCTGCTAATTTTTGAAGGCCTTGGCCATTATATTATTAAAAAAGAGAAAAGCAAAAAATGTAACGATATTTTTCAAGCCTAGCCTAGCACATCGCCAATTACAATTTCTTGTAATTTTTCACCCCCCCCCCCCAAAACACAAACGCTTGTCTCCTTAACTCGAAACTTCCGTGCATTTTTTTTTCGCTGAACCCTCCATCATTTCGACTGAATCACAGCATCTTTAAAATGAGGAGTAACAAAAATAATTAACAGGAATCCTTTCAAAATGCCTTTGGAACTGTTTCCCATGTTTGAAAACGTATTTTAGTCCTTTCTTACTGAAGTCGAGGAAGTAGGCCGAATTGTCATAACAAAAGTTTCATCAATGTTTTACTTCCCAAAAATATCAGACCCTGCGCACGTATCGTATCGCTTCACGCACAAATCAAATAGCCATCGTAATCATACGGGCCAAACATTACCCACCTAGAGAAAGCCTAGCCACTGGGGTGATATTTACAGGCTCACATTACGGAAAAGGGAATATCCATACGCAGTGTCGAAGACATCTTCGTAGTTCCTGGCTTACGCTGGCGGGTGACTGGCGCGAAACACGGCAAGGAATTATTTTAACGGCGACTCGCCGCTTTCAAGTACAGACGCAATGCCTGATACACGTGTCTACGTTGCGTCCAACAATGAAGGACAAAAAATAGGTTTAAAGAAAGTACAGTATTATCAAATAACACACGAAGTATTCCTGCTTCCAGTATTTTCGGCTCAGTACATCTCGCAAGCAGGAAGAGGCATGTTAAGTTCCTAAACATGAAACTAACTCGTTTTCCCCCGCCTAATTTTCGTTAACGTTCACGCTGAACCCGAAGACGCTCAGTCGATTAAGTTTCTTCAGTATAAGTTTCAAGATAAGAAAAGAACTAAGACGTTTCAAGCGGGAACATGAACTCTGTTGTGCTTCGCATCCTTCGATCACGCGCGTTTACTCAGCTAACACTCGAGGACCCAAAACGATTTATTCAGCAACGTTTCCACGCTGTTTCCCTCGGGCTGATGGAAACGGCGAATTTCCGCCACAACCGGGTACTCTGGAAATTGAAACAACCAGGAGCTTCATAGGGAGATCTGGCTGGGTAACGTAAGAGATAATATTGCGGGATTAGCCTGACGTTGCCGCAGCAGACAACAGAAATACGCCCCGAAATGCGCGCTCTCGTAGGGAAGCTCAGCGTTCGCGGATTGCCGCGTATGCGGAACGATCACGAGAAGCCTTAGCGTTGCTGAACACTCGCCGAATAATATGTCTCCAAAATGTCATAAATCGTGCCACATTAACATTTTCTGTTGAACGGCTTTTCCTTTGCAATTGGACTGCTGTCTTCGCAAAAATGTCCACGATCCGAACAAGACACGCAAAGTGATAGGAGATGACTGTTCGGTGCTTAACTTTGAACATGAGGCTTTCGTGTTAAATATCGCGAATCGAAATTTACCAAAGGCACTGTTTTGTCCCAAAATCGCAAGCATGCTGGGATATTCTAATTGTATCTTGATGATGGCAATGTCTCACTTAGGATTTTATTCCGTCGCTTCGAAGCTTCTATTTCTCAATTGCATGTCAATGAAACTAAGCCGACCTCAGCCTTGACTCGCGCGAAAATCGGAATTTTTCTTCAGACGGCAATCGTGAAATACACCGTGGCGGTTGGCGGGGAGGAAAAAATCTGCCGCGAAGCAAAATGCCTCAGACTACGCGGCGATGCGAAACAGCGCAGAAAACTCTTCGAAAATGTTCCCCTCTCTCGCAACAGCTATTGCGTACGCTGAGCGACTGGCCTCGTAGGCCCAAGCTACGGAATCGATAAAAGGAAGGAAATACCAGGCCCCTTGCTCCAACAAGTCATCCCAGCTCGGATCGACGGCTTTTCGTTTTTTCCACGAGTAAGAAGTGTCCTTACGGGACATTGAGACGAAGTCGTCAGCAAAGCACCTCCAACACCCCAGAATCACAGAAATTGGATCACTTCAGTAGTTACGAAGGGCACCAGCAATTTCGGAAGTGTGCATTCCCTTTTTTTCGTCTGCGAACTCTTTCTTTTCCAAAAAAAAGAACCCTGAATTGAAAAAGTATCCCCGAGCGCCTGGTCAACATTTACGCAATTGGATCCTTCTTTAAAACTAAAAATGTTATTTGAGGATTCACTTCAACATAAAAAACGGTGCCAGTTGAACGTACAGTATAGTCACCAGTTCGGAACCTACAGATAAAAATCAAATGATCCGGTGTATACGGCACAGCACACTCGAACATGATACATCCCAGGGAGTATGCCTTACTCCGGAGTATGGCTCACTCCATCGCGTAAGGTTGACTCCCTTGATTATTCCTTGTTATTTTGTTTTAATAGTGATCAGTTCCATCTTTTACTCTGTTATTACCATTTACTAACCCATTACGTGACTTATTTAAAAGTAAATAGTAATACGGTATTCGTATGCTGCATTACAGGTATTGTACTGTATTAATATTAATTATTTTTAATCATACTGGGTGTTAATAGGTTTGGTTCAAACCGCGGACGAGTGCATGCAGGCACTGAGAATTTAAAGTCATGCAGCCAAAAAAGGGTAATCCTACCCCACCCGCTGAACTCTCTTCCGGTGAGGGGGACATGTGCCTGCGCATTCCTGTGTTCGTATATAGCCTCAAGCAAACATGTCGGAATTTATCTTAATTTTGAAAATTTCAAAAATCTTTTCGGTTCTTCGGGTTTTTTAGGGTAGGTTAGGTTAGTTAGGTTAGGATATTTAGGTAAGTTTAGTTTAAATCTTCAATATTTTAATTACTGTATTAGGCTAGATAATTACGTTGGTAGTAGGTGCTTTAAATCTTTAATATATTTTAAAATTTCCATTTATATTTATCTACTGTTCATCATTGTGGTTTTTTTAATGCTGTCTCCGAAATACACAATAGTAACTGACAGCTGACGCTGGATGGGAGGGGCAAGTGGTGTCCCCGTGTTTTCCCTTGTTTTTGGAGGAGAGGCTGGATGAACTCGTCCGCAGTTTCGCTCGGTTATTCTCGGGAAGATTTCTTTTTTTTTTTTTTGCTGGGAACACACCCTGTGTTGTCTTGGGAGGTGTGATAAGTGAAATCCCATCACACCTCATGACATAAAACATAATTTTTTCACAGCATTTCCAAGATGTTTGAGTTTCTGCAATACCCATTGCAAGCTTCAATTCCACTAATTTATATGTTTCAAGAATGAAAAAATCAGACCAAAGTTTTTCAAATTTTAGCTTTTTCAGGACAGTGAAGTACTGTATTCGTATTTTTAAAGACGGCAAGCTATTAAAATGTAAGCTCATCTGTTTTTTTCCATTGATATTTCAAAATAAAATCGAAGATTATATTTTCACATCAATGAATTAGAAACATATCTGGAAGTAAAGACTGAAGATTAGAGAATTTCAGTGCACATCCAAGAATATAAAAAAAGACATTCTTCGTCAACAAGAACGCCTTCTCGCAGTGGTAATAACTGAGGTGCGCGTCTTGTACGAGACTCGTTATTTCCTCCAATTTTTCTTTCAAAAACTGGAAAGGACGTCTCAAATAAATGAACACGCGTATTTTTCGTTCCGAGACCTTCAAACCGCCAGGAAACCGAGTTATGAAAAATACACGCGAAAGGTTTTTACTGCAATGGAATTCACCGAAGCTTCTCATCGTCCTCAGGTATCAAGACCAGTAAGTTTTTTTCGTACGCGATTCATTTCCCTCTCCAACAGCAAAAAAACTTGGAAGTACTCACTCGCACTTGTAGTCCATCCAGAGATCAAAGCATTCGAAAGGCTCGTCGCAGCGGATGGATTCACAAGGTTTATTCGACGGACAACCCTCACGCAAGTTTCGGAATAACGTTGCTTGCCCACCGTGAGTACCGTTTTTCGCAGGGGGTAAGGGCAATTGATGACCTTCGAATCTTATATCATCCAAACAACCTTAAAAAGATGAACAACGATGGGTAATCAAGCTGAACCGTTATTTCTGGCACTTGACGAAAATTACCTTTCTGATAATCAGCGTAAACTTCGAAGGTTCGCATTCCAGTATATTCAGCTCGACCGCCGGCAAAAACGCCTTCTTGCTTCGCAACACTGAGGAGCTGATGACCAGTGAACTCAAACGTCTCGTTGTAGTTGATCCCTTCACCTCCGTCAAGCTAACGAAGAATCAAGAATATTAAGAAATCAACACATGAATCGTTTTTCGGAAGTAAGAGGCGACATTAACCTGGAGGATAGCAGCGGATCCATAGCGATTGACCTTCGCCACATGCCACTGCCCATCATCCACATCAACGCCAGTCAGTACCAACGTCTTCTCCTCAGTTTCCATAGACTTCAGGTTATATCGGAAACGCAATTTACCATTGCGGATCTAAAGGCAAAAACATGTGTTAGAACAACACGTTCGAATGAAACAACGATCTAACTTGCCTCTAGAATTGCGTATTCTCGATTGTGCTGGTCTGCAACACGGAACATCTCCCCAGATCTTTCTCGGGTCCGGAATCGCAATTGAATATCCGTCGTGAATAGTTCAGGCTCAAAAGACAATGCGTATTTCACACAGGACTGCGGTTCGAAGGTAGCAGGAACCGTCGGGTATTGGCACGTAGCTCCTTTCCAACCTGGTTTGCATTTGCATCTGAAACAGGAAGTCAATCAAATTCGAGCACTATTTCCAATGGAGAAGGGCTTTCAAATTCTAAAAATTGATCATCACCGGCAAGGCAGATCATCTACGAAATCAAGAACAAAAACTCACTTGGTCTCAAACAATGATCCATCACAAACGCCATTTGGTCCACATCGCGGTTCGAGATCGTTTCCACGGCATCTGTCCTGAATCAACGGGCAACCGGCATAGCTTTTGAAAACCAAACCGGGATTCTTCAGATCCAAAATTTCGCTGTTGTGCACGAAGTTTCGTATGCAGCCCTTGAACAGCTTCCCATGCGGAACATACATCCAGCCGAACATTACTGGGTCCAATGGATCGTGATATACGCCTCCAACTTGCAAAGGAGCGTTCAGGTTCAAATATTCATTGAACGGTGGGATAGTGCCTTTCTTTTCGCAGGTTTTCGAATCGAGCATAGGTTTGGATCCGTTTTCCAATTCTTCCACATGGAGCGTTTTGCAATAATCCACCACCATCCGCACCACCTAGGACAGCAACATCCATATTAGCCAAAGAATACCACACAACCCGGGCAATCGAAGAAAATCACAAAATGAACGAATCGTTCTGAAAACCTGCGCAACTTCCATCCTTAAAATTGTAGTTACAATATAGGTATTACGGAAACTTCAAAGAAAAATAAAGACCATACCACAATAAACTTTAGAAAAAAAAAATCATGGCGCAGGACAATAAAAATTCCCCAACACGCAAAAGATAGAAATACTGCAGGCAAATTTTGCAACTGATCTTTACCTCGGAATCCCAGAAAATGTCGATTCGATGCCAATAGCCGTCATCAAGGCCGTGAGTTGTAGCAATCGTAAGCTCCGTAGTTCCTGAACCGAAATCTATGAGCAATCTCGGATGGCCACCGACAAGTTCCAAAGCGATATAGTCTGCAGAGAAGTCACACGACAGTGATACACTTCGTTAGGTAAATCGGGAATTCCAGATATTTACCAGACACGATGACTTCATCGGGATCAGGAGCAGAAACCGGGCCGTTATAGAAAATCAATCCATCACGGCTTTCCGTCAAAAACTCGACACTGAGATGCGACTCGCTGCACATTTTCAACGGTGGGAACCATGCATAACCTTGTCCGTGGAAACTTCTGCTCGTCATTTGACACCTAGGCCCATCGTAGCCTTCCCGACATCGGCAACTAAAAATAATGCATACAATGCTATTTCGATATGCTACACCAACAACAAATTGATGATGCAAAAATAATTCTAAAAAATTAGAACTGCTGCAAAAAAATAATAGAAATAAACCAAACTTCTTGGGATACAGATTCATTTGTGTGTTCACGGGGTTCCGCACGGAATTCGACAAAATAAATATCGTTTTCATTTCTATTCCATGCGTCTCTTATGTTTTCAAAATACCGACTGAATGATGTGATAATTCGTTGTAGCACTCTGAGGCACCTAAACCTTGCCGGTGATCTCGGAGAATTTTTCTTCTGAAATCACGCATGGATGAATGGATTTAGGAGACAGAAATGAGTGTAACTGTAACTTTTCATTGGTGAGTACAATTGGGCGCACAATTTCTTGAACTTGAAGGATGAATCAAAGCAACCTTACACCAGATCCGATCATCTGAAGCAGACCCTGATTCATACTGTATTTAAAGTAGAAACTACAGAACCATCTCACGACTCTCTCAATTCAGACACTCACGTAATTGTTCCGTAATCATCTTCAATGCATCGACCCCCGTTCATGCACGGGTTGGGGTGACAAGAGCTCGGCATGGAGAAGTTCCGCGCGGCGCAAGTACATTCAGGTACGACCTCAGTTCTCACTCCAACCAATGCTGTTTTGTTGGCGTTCACCATGTACGGCTGGGTTTTCACCACGAGGTGATTCGTACAAGAGCCTTCACAAGCCACGTTCTCGTACAGGCATTCATCAATGTTGACCATCGTGATATTGATACCGACTTCCTCCTCGATCTGTTTTGATCATACGACAATCAGCAAAATAATGCCGAGCAGCTCAACGTTCCATTATGGGAATAAAGCTTCTGCCAGGATGTATTTGAAAATTAATGGATGTAGAAACAAACCTTCCGTCTGCTTTGCATCACAAGGCCGTTGAGAAGGACAGCCGATGAATCCATGGCTGAAAACCTAACATCTGTGATCCAAGGTGGCCATTCTTGCTTTGATCTCACGCTGAAGACGTCCACGTTATGCTCCGCTGTTTCAACTAGTTTCGCAACAACAGAGCGAAATTTTTCGAGCTTGCTTCTGCGAACTTTATTGGTCTGCAAAATTGTTAACGGGATATTAGAAGATCCGATCGTTTCACCACGTTTTCCTACAACAAAATTCAGACCTTGTAATCGTAAACACGAATGAAATCCTCATCAGAAATCCCGTGAATGCGGATGGAACCCGAGTTCATCACGGTTTCCTCGCTAATGTCTTTGACACGAACTGTCACGTTGGCTTGAATGTTGGTTTGCGTGTGCAGCCGATCGTAAACAACGAATTTAAGATCGTACGTTCCCTGTCGTGCTCCTTGTTTCATAGTGATCATTCCCGTCGCATTGTCAAGTTTAAACATCTGATGTTCTTCTTCTGCCCAGTAAAAGCGCTTGTCCGGTAGATCCCAATCATCCAAGTCAAAAACATAAACTCTGCCGATTTCAGTTTCTGGATTCTGGCCCTGAAAGAATTCATGATAATAAAGATTGAACCAATATCACTTTTATCACTACATACCATGTAATTATACACGAAAATTTCCTTTGAGCCGGGAAGCATTTTGTTATCATTTTCATCGCCAATAATAACAGTAAGTGTTGAGGTTCCCGATTGAGCGGGATTTCCGGCATCGGTGATGATGATGGGCACGTAGTATTCTTTTTGTTCTTCGCGATCAAAGGATTTTTGACAATGTACAGTGGCTTGTCCGTCTCCATTTGCCCCCTCTGCGCAGAATTTGAGGTTCATTAGATTTTCCGTTTTAGGAATACAATATATCCAAATCGCGAATCTTACTTGGATCGTGATCAACTCTGAAGGACGCTTTGATTTGATCATCAGCATTTGGGTCCATTCGAAAGAAAAACGGTGGGCCATTTGACTTCGACCGGTCATCGTCATCAGTTGCAAGAATATCTACGACTTTTCTGGGCGAAGAATTCTCCGGAATAACCGGCCGATAATTTTTCAGGAATTTTGGCGCATTGTCATTAATATCTTGCACAATGACTGTCAACGTGGCTGTCGCAGTTTTTGGTGGATCTCCATCATCGATAGCCAGAATTTTCACTTGATGCCGAGGAGTTTCTTCACGATCAAGTGCTCGTTGAATGGTAACAGTACCGTCGTCGTTGATTGAAAATTGCCGACGCCGGTCTGAAGATCTGTCGATGGCATATGAGACTTTCGACCTGCCTCCTTGGTCAGGATCAGTGGCCTTGAATGTCCGCAAACTTTTGCCGACCTCTGCGTTTTCTGGAACAAGTTGCTCCATGTTTGCGTCTTCAAAAACGGGTTTATTGTCGTTTATATCCCGCAACTTCACGTTCACCCAAGAATACGCAACGTGGTAGTTGTCTACGTTGGAATCATCACCCTGGAGTCGCAGGAAAAATTCAGCTCGCTTCACAAAAGTAACTCAGGCGAATAGGACATCAAGTAGAGTTCATAGCTATTCTAGGAACAAGAATATTAATTACACCATAAAGCCCTGACTACTTACCCTGTCATTCACTTGAATCCTGAACCTAAATCCATTCTGCTGGCGAGAATCCTCGTAATCTAAGGGTTGGACGACTTTCAGAGAACCAGTTCCATCAGAATTTCTGACCATGGTGAACTTGTCGGCGCCATAACCTTGCTTTCCGATCACTTTGTAGTGGAATTTGTTGGTTTCGTCTTCATCCAAAACAGTGACAGTAAGAATAGGTACGTCCGGCAAAATAGTTCCTTCCGTTTCGTCTACTTCAGTGTGCCATTCATCTTTGCTGAATTTAGGCGGCATGTCGTTGACGTCTTTCACTCGTATCGATGCCGTTCCAGTTCCTGTTCATCGACAAAAAGAGAAAACTTTAAAATTCGCAGGCACAGAATCCTTCGTCGTTGTCACGATTCATATATTCCACGAAGAGAATATCTTTCGTCATTTTCATTCAAAAATTCCTTTCAAATCCATCAAACTAACCTTTTAGTCCGGCCCCGTCTTCTGCCACAACTTGAATAGAATACTCCGGAGTTTTCTCTCGATCCAAACAACAGACATTTGTCGTAATGAGACCAGTTTCCGGGTGAATTTTGAAAATAGGTTTCCCAGTTTTCTCGTCATCAATGACATTCTTGTCAATGGAGTACGTTAACTTCGCATTCCCACCTTCATTTGGGTCATCATAATCCGTCGCTGTCATCGCCATAACTGGCATATCTGAAAATTTTCGAGCGAACAAGTTTCGAATACCCATTTGATTTCCGTCGGAAATGAATAAATACCCTCGGTCCCATTTTCAGTCACGTTGCCGTAGTAAATGCCATCGGCGAAAAACGGAGCGTTGTCATTGATATCTCTCAGATTAATTTGGACGTCTGCGAAACCGACTAAACCTTCACCGCCTTCATCTTGAGCAAATACCGTGAATCGCCATTGTGGACGCCCATTAGGATAGTCTCTATCCAACTCCTGGAAGCACAGGGATACGTGCAAAATACACAAAAAAATTCCTCGGTCTTTCTTCAACTCACCCGAAGAACGTAAATTGCTCCTGTGGTTCGATTTATGGCGAACTTATTGTTTTCGGGATTATCCGGATCAACGCCTTGACCGGTTAAGAAATAAACAATATCTTCCGGACGGTCTTTGTCTCCATCCGTAGCTTGAACCTATCACCCCGAACAAAAGAAATTAAAATGGTTTGCTCTCTAATGCAGACTAATTAGGACAATAGCTGCAAAGAGCCTACTTGGAGAAACCAAATCCACAAGTGCTTGGTCCCGCTTATCCATGCGATATTTCACAGGCAGGAAAAGGAAGGAGCGAGGTGAGATACATCAACACCACTACCTAGTTGGGTTAAAAATGCAAGTGAAAACTAATGACGAGAAGCAGAAAACGTGAATAAATCAGGAAAATTAGAAAGAAGGCAGGAAAGAAGTTGTTTTCATGAAAAGAGTAAAAAGGCATCACAGAAAGAATCAGTTGGAAAAATGAAGGACGCACATATAATACAGTAATAAACTCTCCAGAAACGAGGAAAAACCGGTCTTCAATTCTTGATCGCGCTTCCATTTTTAAAATGAAAGCTTTCTCTTTAAATTACCCGCCAAACAGATCCGAAAGAGCGACTTCTATGAAGTTCTACTGCGAACGAAGATCACCAACGAGAGGTTGACATAATCGGAAATGCTGGAGTTAGACGAATAAATACATCTTCTTCAACACAATATTTGCTGTCATGAGCTGTGCTCTCCACTTCTCCGTATCCTTGACTGAAGTTCCGTCACCAAAGTTCAAGCAACCATAAATTAACAAGTTTACCTGAAGTAGCGGAATGGGCTGTCTGGTTTTTTGCTCTTCTTTCATGGAAGTGTAGTAAATCTTCTCTCCAAAAACAGGCGGTAAATCGTTGACATCTTTAACACTGATCAGAATCTGCGTCGACCGTTCGTTCAGACTGTCCGAAGCAACTAGCGTCAAATTGTACTATAGTACGTAAGTAAAAAAAAAAAGGACACATGGAGAAAATTACATCAATCCATGCTCATGCAAAAATAAACCCGAATGAGTAATTCCACTTCTCTTCTAACAACAAGTCACTATAACGACAAAGCTAAGCATTAAGGCCACACACGGGCAGCTTTTGAAAACCGCGGCTAACCTGGACAACTTCCTTTGGCATGTCCGGATTGGATTCTTCAGTAATTTGGGCCTCGTAAACGGGCCAGTTGAAAACTGGTGGATTGTCGTTGACATCTTTGATGTTGATCACCACTGTAGTGTGGTTCTCATTCGAATTGTCGGTTGCTACCAACCTCAATTCATACTACCATTGTTCATAAATAAATGCAGCATAAAGGCGAACTCATTCAATCAAACGCTCCAAATTAATTAAAAAAAAAGCCAGCAAATGTGCGGAATACTTACGCGTTTCCTGGTCTCGTAATCCAACTGACCCGCAACGTATATTGCACCAGTTTCTTTCTTGACAGCAAAAGCACCTCCAACGTTACCCCGGGTGATTTCGTAACGAATTTTAGAAGCTTCAGAGAAGATGAATCATCAGTTTCAAACAAGAGTCACATGGAGATCTTGGAAACTTACATTCATCTTTATCCTGAGCGGTGACAGTCAGGACGGTATGCTGAAAATCCTCATTCTCGTCAACCTCGGCTTCGTAGCGTGCTTTGTCGAAAAATGGCGGGTTGTCGTTCTTATCGGCAATCCCGATCCGAATGTACTCCGTGACTGTAATGTCAACTTCTACGTATCGCAAAAAATCGAAAGAATTCTTTGAAATTACCAGTATTTGGTCCGTTTTGCATTCCAGGACGAGCAGACTGGGCGCCGTCCCTCGCCTCAACTTCTAGTGCATACGCTTGTTTCTTTTCGCGATCGAACACGATTTTGGTGAATATTTCTCCAGTTTGCGGATTGATGTCGAAATAATCCTTGCCCTCGTTTCGCGGAGAGTTCACGATAGCATAAGTAACCTAAAAAAATGAAAAAAGCCCGAAAATGTACAACGCGCCGATTCCCATAATGAATTTTGAACACAAATTTCGATTTTCCTTTACAAACAATTATTGTTTATGAAAAAATAACTTGCCAGGTTATTCGGCGATGTTCCATCACGATCTATGGCACGAATGGTGGTAACCTTGGTGCCCGGAGGTTCGCCTTCCATGACGGTCTTCTGCTCTCTCTCCGTGAACAACGGAATTTCATCGTTAACGTCCTCCAACTTGATGTGAACGGTTGCTTCGGATGCAAGCTGCTGGGCTCCGTTGTTCTGGACGACGATAGAATCTTATCAGGGCACTCGCACCAGGATATCAGTTCCAAGTAACGTACCTCGACACGGATGGTTAGGTTATACTCCCTGATGGTTTCATAATCCAGCGGCTTATTCACTTTGATGTCCGCCCAAGTAAATTTAACATCTGAGCGTTGCTGCAGATAGAAGTCGTCATTTTTGTTCGTCTGAGCAGTACCCCCTTTGATCAGAGTGTAGTACACGGTAGGGTTGTCTTCAATCCCAGATCTGCGAGATCGCGCAACGAAAAGGTCAGACGGCTGCCAGGCGAGCAGCTTCGATACAGATATTAAACAAGGGAAAGATACATTCAAAACAGGGTGTGCAAAAATATTCATTGTGGAATGATTTTCAACTCTAGGAACAAAAACTAAAGGAACAAAAAATGGTGATTGTGCTCGACTGGATTGCTAATGAAAGCAACCGCCTGGTGCGTGTGTGTATGAGCTTGCATCTTCCAAACCAGTTAGTTCCCAAAGGCGCGAACGAACCGATTAGATAAAATATCATGCAGAAAAAATTGGCAGGCATTAGACAAGCAGTCGAGAAGCTTCAGCAAAGGCTGAAACAAATACACTTGCGGTTCAATTCCCATTCGTCCTTCCAGGTGAGGAAAAATAAAACGCATGCAAGACACATGCAGTCGCTGGCAAACCGGGCCCGGAAATCCGATCCTAATGCGGGAAATTCGAAGCGCCCAAATGTTAACGCTACATCTCCGTTACTTTTGTAATAACTTGCACATGAAATTGAAGAAAGAAATCATCGCACGGGACGTTTCACTGTTTCATCGCCAAAAACGCTTGCAAAAGCGTTTTTTTGCTTTTCCAAAATTGAAATACACGAGGATGTTATATCGGTAACTTTGAAGATATCGATATGCAAAGTACGTCACAATTATGGTACACGTTTTTATTCTTCAATAGTACGAGGATAAAAATGGGGCTTTCAAAAGTCCAAGACACAGGATCGGATTTCCAGTTGGCACGAGCTGGCCCACATTAGTACCTGGCCTTCAAAGACGCGACACGATCGCCCACGCTCAAGTTCTCTTTGATGAAGATGGGTCCGTACACCAAGTTGTCCCACTGCGGAGGTTTGTTGTCTCTGTCGACTACAATTATCTGAACTTCGACGGGGCGAGACAACGGCGGGTACCCGCGGTCCTCCGCCCGCGCTTCCAGCCTGTACATCTCCCGCTGCTCTCAGCCGAACGAAGGAAAAGACAGCGGCTCCCCGATTAGCAACCATAGCTAAGACTTCATCGCATGTCTCCGAAATTCACAAAAATCACCAATTATTTAGAAATTTAAGCATATTGAAGCCTGCACTAATCGAAATCATCAGCAAGCAAATATTTTGTGAGAGGCACATAACATCAAAGCAATTAATATATCTGTCTTGCTTCAAAAAATTGGTGGATCGTGGAATTTCGGGAACAGCGAGGGAAGGCGTTAGTGAAAAGAGTAGAAAATGACAAGGCATCTTATCGCCGCCAGCTGGAAAAAGAAACGTAGTTAATCGCGCACCAAGCCAAAAAGCCCACAGACGGATTAGCGAGACAGGAGGATTAGTCACGCGGCAAGCCACAATAGTCGCAACCACGGTCCCAGCACGCAGCTCATTGCACACAGCACTTCTTATTACGGGAACGGCAGAACTCGTTCAGGTGAACTATAGGGATTGGGGTGGATGCTCGAAATACTCCACGATTCGAATATATCCGACGAGAAACGACGGAATGATTACTTGGTAAAAAAAATAAAAAGAGCAGCAAACTGAAGAAACTCTTCGAGAAGATTCACAGTAAAATCTCGTAACAAATACAAATTACAGCAAAATTATCAGTACAGATAAAAGTCTTCCCAAGTCCCGGCAGAAGGCCCATGAAACACATGTTAAAACAATCTCGTCATCACGAACTGCCCAATTCAAGTAAAAAAATGTTTTAAGTAAATATTGAATAGATTCTCCAGGTAGAAATTTCTTGAGTAAGGCAGGTACATTCCGGAATTTTCAATCCCAAATGTGACTGACTGTTTCTTGTAGCATGGACGGAATCGGTATCAATTAAAAACATGTGGTTCCACAAATCATCCTCCCAAAATGAAGAGATTGGTGCCATTGAAGGAATACATATGCGAAGCTTTTTTTCTCCAAAAGATCACTCAGTTTTTCGAACGATCATAAAAACTGAGAATGCCCGATAAGCAAGATATAATTTATTACAGGCAGGTCTGATCTCAAAAAATGTTCTCTTCATTAATTTCGAAAATCTCGTCGTAACAAATTATTACAATAAAACGAAGCTTTTCTGAAGTCCCCAAAAGGTTGCTGTAACAAGATTTTACTGCATACCTATCGAACCAAAACAAAGATTCACGCTCAACTCTGCTCAAGAACTGGTGAACCTCCGAATAGCTTGATATATTTCGATCACAAAAGTATTCCGAGCAGATATTGTCTACCGTTATGTGAGTTATTGCCAAAGGATCACAACGGGGCAGGTCAGGTGTTCCATCGTGTTCCGCGGCATTACTTACGTGGCATAACCGGACCAAATAACCGTCGAAACGGATACATTTTCGGCGACGTGCACTGGTCCTCGCACGGGCGTTCTCCACACGGGCGGGTCAAGATCATTGCTTGACCTGTCGAGGACAACGATGGCGGAGCCGTTTCTCGCTATCGGATCTCCGCGATCGAACGCCACGACTCTCAATTCAAATCTCGCTCTCTATACGCATCGCGTATGTACAAGCACAAAAAACAAGGTCGTGTTGTCAGGTTCCAAAAGATAAACAAGGAGGAAAACACATGAACAAGAAGAACTAAACTGGTCCGTAAAAATACAAATCCTGCATCACCTCGCAAAATCGGTCACGTGTCGGGACTATGAACTAACTGGTATATCATTAGCGGGTCGATTATTTCAGCAACGTCACTCACAGCTCAACTACACAAAACTTAAGCTTCAATGTTCAAGTTTTCAATAATTAGACATCACTAAAAATCGCGATGACGTAACTTAATGCATTCGTTCAAGATGAAAGTCCTCGTTCACATTCAAATGACGACTGAAAAACTTTTGAACTCGTTTCTGATCTGAACTTTGTCAATAATGCGAAAGTCGGGTGATGAAGAAACTGGAAGTTGCCGAACCAGAGTCAAACAAAAACTCAAACAAGCAAGAAAGCGTCAAACTGAGTGCTCAGGAAAGAAAACGATAACAAACAAGGATCTGTTGAGAGCGTGAACCGAAAAAAATATGAAATCGGTGTGTGCGTATCACATTCCCGAAGGGGTGCTTCTATGTGTAGAATGCCCTCATCACCGCAACCAAAACAAAAAACAAAAAACCCCGGCGTCTTGATAACCGCACATACCTCACAAACATCCTGAATCCGACAATAAATGAGAACGGGGGAGGGGGAGAAGAAACGCCCATGGATCATTAATCATTGTCTAATTTGAGCGACGCCATGCGAAAAGGAGTACAAGTCAAATTACAGCTCATGCAAGATATGTAAGTGACACGCGGGGGAACTTGTCTAAACTCTGGGAGGGCTCGGGTGGTTTGAGCTTGTCGTCTCGACGAGAAAAACAAAAAAATGGGAATTTGGCTCGGGGCATGTGGCTAATGAGCTGCTCAGATGACACTTCGAATTTCGCACCGGAAGTGAAATAAGAAGTTGGGACTCACGTGCAGAGGCTTCTTCAGGCTGATCCAGCCGGATTCCGGTTGAATGTCGAAGTATTGATCGTCGTCGGAGCCTTCCTCGGCGGGATGCAGTGTGTATAGGATGGCTCCGTTATTGTCCGCGTCTTCATCGGACGCAGACACTCGCAGGATGTTCGTTCCAATGCTTGTATCTTGCTTCACATTCTCTACGTAGCGCTATTCATACACGAGTAGGGATATCATACATATGCAATACTGTATACAATATATTTATTTTCACACAGCATGTATACACCGTGCTACGCATTACGAATATGAGACATATGCCCGAATGTTCCTTGCGAACATTCTCAGTACGTATCCCGATGAAAAGTACTTTGTTTTGACATATATCTAGTAATTGTTATACAGTACTTGAATTCAGGGCCAAGTTCTTATCACAGACGAAGGTAACTTGATCCAACAAGAAACCTTCTTTCAAGTAGCAACATCAAATATTTGTATCACCTTTCTGCTTTGCTCACGGAAAATATGTACAACCTTAAAAATAATAATGTAGAATCCCCGCTACGCTTTTTAGGACGGTCTCGAAATACTGAATGAGCACCACATTCAACATAAGCCCAGAACAAGCTCATTATAGTGTACGTTCAGTTTATTCAGAGCAATTTTTATACGAAAAAAAAGAACCAATAACGAAATAAGTTTATTACACATCATCGTCTCAACCGAAGAGTACTTATTAATTTATTCAAGCTGATTCAGGGTTCTACGATAATTCAATCCAAGGTTCCCAGCTTCCATAGTCCTTAGTGTCACAAAAAATGGACCGAAATATTTAGTCTTCCGTCCACAATCGGACGTGCTATAGCCTATTAGCTATAATATAATACTGTACGACCTGCTGTAAACGCAGAAGAGCGTTTATGACAAGGCAAACAATTTTGAGACACTTCTTACTCGTGAGAAGCAGAGAAGACGAACGCGGAAATAAAGATGCAAATTTTCGAGGTGATACTTCCGGAACGATGTGAGCATCCGTGAGAAGTGTAACTAGGTGCGGCATGTTCGAGTACCCACCTGTCGGTCGAACAATGGGGAGTTGTCGTTGATGTCTGTGATTTCGACGGTGAAAGAACACACGCCTTCTAGGGAGGGTTCTCCCTGATCCACTGCCTTCACTGTAACTGAGACAAACTTTCCATCCTCTCCTTCACGATCAAACACCTTGTTCGTATGGATAGTTCCCGTGTCGGGGTCAACGGTGAACTTCGCACCGCTTTTATCCGGTTGTTGAACAATTGAGTACTTCACCTGACCATTCATGCCTTTGTCCTTATCCACGGCTTCCACCTTAGTAAAGAAGAATTCAAACCATTCCGTGACTCTTCACTGCGCCGCTCAGAACGAAGTTTCCCTAATGCGAGTCGTCTGGCATGCCTTCCAACAATTCTCGAAAAATTTACTTTTACAGCACGGGATCAAAATAATGAAAATTAAATATGCAGTGTTGATCTTTTTTTCTCCATGGAATTTTCAACTCAAATTCCTCGGTTCAAGAAATCCATGAACTCTGATGCTTCATTAGCAATCGCGGAGGTTGAGTATCACGGAAAGGATAAAAATTGCGAAATTATGAACGATGAGAAACGAACCTTAATGACCGGAGAACCGTTCGAAGAGCTTTCCTGGATCTTGGGATTGTAAGTGTCGCACTCGTGGAAGATGGGCTTGTTGTCGTTGACGTCAGTGATGAAAACGACAACCACCGCCGTGCTGGTGTGCAACGTTTGTCTTCCGTTCTCACAGCAAGACCCGTCATCCGTCGCAGTCACGTTCAGCTCGTACTTGTCCTGATCGAGGTTGATCTTACCACTGTGAAGACGGATGACTCCAGTTTTCTTCTCGATGACGAACTGTCCGCTTTCCAGTTCGCCACCAACAAATCCGAATTCCACGTTGTCGCCATCCTTGTCAGAAGCTACAACCGTGTTCACCAGGGTTTTAGGACCTGCATTCTCGTCGACGTTCGGAGTGTAAACCTTTAATCATTCGAAGACATTTTTCATTTCAGGCCCAAATTTTGATACCAAAAAATATTTGCACACCTGCTGAGAGAATTTTGGTTCCTCGTCGTTCTTATTCTTCGTGTACACGCGAACCATAGCAGATCCTGTCTTAGGAGGTTCACCTGGATATACAAGAGCACGCATTAAAATAATCAACAGAGCTCGAGAAAACTAAAATACATACCTTTATCTTTCGCAGTGACTTGGAATTCATAATACGCGTTGTTGTTGTCAGCATCCAAGCGCTTATTGTTGCGAATAACACCCTTATTGTCGACTGAAAATTCGTCCTTTGAAACCGAGTACTCAATCTCAGCATTAGCGCCAGAGTCGCCGTCAGTAGCTTTAACTTGCAAAATTGATGTGCCAATCGGCAAGTCTTCATCAATGCCATGAGCTTGATAATCCGGAAGTTCAAATTTCGGCGCATTGTCGTTCACATCCGTCACGCGGATCGTTAGCTAGGTACAAGTGAGCGAAAAAAATGAAAAATAAAACGTCCCATCCTCTCCCAGGCAATCTCTGGCACTTCAACAGCGATCTCAGTCGCGAATGTCTCGATATTCTGAGTATTTACTCTGATCGCGAGCCAGACGACTCGATAGCAATCGAGACTTCTAAGAAGGTCTTTCTGAGTTTCAACTTGCTTCGATTCATAGCCCATTACACATTCCGAAACTTCCCATCGGATGATAAAAATGGGAACGGAAAGTGATCAGGCGATGAATTCGTTTCATCATGACCAGAAAATGTTCCCCTTTCTTCAACAGATGAAATCTTCTATCATCTTTAATTGAGCTTTAATCCTAAAACCCTCAGATATCAGAGAAGCTAGGGTTTTGCAAACCAAATTGCAAAATGATCAGTGAATACAGCTCTTCAAAAAAGGAAAATACAGGTGGACTCCCTCTCTTCAACGAAATTCAGTGGACCATAAAAAAATTCGTCGTAGAAAATCTCTGTATGAGGAATAGAGACCCATATGGATACGGGAAAAAAATTCGCTAAATACAGAAAATCGACGTGAAGATCGTTCTAGGGAGAATGTACCTATAATAGAAACCCTCACAGGAATAGATCTCATCCGCTGAACTTTTCAATTTCGTTCGAAGAGAGTGAAATTTTGCGGGAGGGAACGAATGATTACCATAGATGAGCATGCCCACGAACTTACTTCGACAGACGTAGAAAAGCCTCCCGAGTCTTCCGTCGCAGTAACGGTCAACGAATACAAGTGCGGCTGTCGCAAGTCTTCGAAATCCAGCTCCTTCGCAAGTTTCACGATGCCAGAAGTGGCCCCGATATTGAAGGTGCCCGCGCCCTGACCTTTCGCCTTCAGCGTGTAGCGTATGTCCCGGTCGGCAAATGATTTGGCTTTAACCGAAATTATACTGCGGGGAGACGGAACAACGCAGCCCGTGAGAAACGAACGTCAGCCGCAAACCCATCTTCATCATTTTCCCACCTGACCGTCGCATATCGATCACGCAGAACACTCAAATCCAAAGCCGTTCAATACCATTAGAAAATTTGACATTTTCCAGACTGAAATTTCGTGAGCTCCAAAAAAAACCAGTACTGCATATGGAAATCTGAAGTGAATGAAACTAATCCGTGAATTTCCAGAGCAAAGATGAATTTCGTCTTCGTTACCTATCCAAACTTCATTCAGATTTTCATGTCATTCCCGATGAAGGAAATGAAAATCTGCTTCGTTGAAACTTCGATAATCCGAACAAGACTGTATGATTAAAAAAGCATAATTCAGGAAAAACGGAATTTCGTAAATGTATGCATTCAAGATTAAAGGCTCTTCGTTCGAGTTTCACAAGAGCAGATTGGAGATCACAGAAAAGATCCTCGAATAGATCCGTAACAAATATTTTTTGTTGGCTGTCAATAAGTGTGGTCTGAAGATATGGAGATTAAAGTGAAGATCACCTAAAGAATATTACATCGTTCTCAAAAATGAAGTTTTGAGTCCCCCGACGTCTGTCATTAGTATTCATTGACAACTTTCTAACCAATATTTAAAGCTGAAGTTCGATCAAACCTTTGAAAAATTGAACCAAAAATCGTTCTTGAACAAGTTTTGGACCGGAAAGCATCCTTGCATGGCAATTATTTTTCCTGGCCCGAATTATTTCCATGTTTTATTAATGTTGACGACTACTTCGAACTTTATACTACACGATTTCAACGTTATTTCCACTTGAAGTACTGCATATCAGATCCAAGGAAAGAAAAATGGGTCGCGATAATTTTAAATTCGGCTTCTGACTATCCAGAAAGGGACCATTCACCTGATGCTGGAGGTCGAACTGAACAGTTTCGTGATTGAATGGCGAAGCGAAGTAGATTAGAATCTTCAAAAATCAAAAAAGGGTTTCAGCCTGAACATTCGGTAAAGCAATTGTGTCTCACACATCTGTGCAAGGCTTCAACCGTTCATGCAGCTGAGGCCCTGTACATATTGAACTTGATCACGTAGTGCATCGGGTGATGCGTGAACGGCACACCATCAGAATGGTACGATTTACAGAGAGGTTGAGAAGGCCTTGACCCAGAAATCTTGGCCGAAAAAATAATTATTGCTAATGAACTCACTCTGAATCCTTCTTCTGGTTCTCCGGTATGTCGGCTTCATAAAATTGGAGATAGAATTGCGGCGGACGCTTCCCACCCACGATGGACAGACGTTCTTCAGTCGTGGATTGGTACTGGCGGTCGTTTATACGCCCATTGTGATCCTCGGCTTTCACGAAAAGCACGTACTCCATATCCAGCTGGAAGGGGTCAGTGCCCCGTGTGCGCACAACCCCCGAGCGCTGGTCGACTTCGAACCGACCCCCAGCTGCCGATTCGGACACAAGGTATGCATGAGAACAGCGCGAGAATGACGTCTACACAAACAAATTCTGTACTGTACTTTCTGCTTCAAGAGCCAAGTGGGTATACCCATAGCACAGATATTCATTTCATGAATACATATTAAGAATCCTTGGAAATCCTACTCGGGTTCTCGAGTAAACACGCTATCTTATGAATTAAAGCTCCGGGGGAACCACGATACGTGCTACGCTGAAGTTCCCGAAGTTGAAGAACTGATTTGAATTTTCATAGAGATATTTCTAGTCCTCGAAAAATTAGTTGGCGGATCCTCGCAACAAACGATCTTCGACTCGAGCGCGCGTTAAACTTCTCAAGTACGCTTCGAAGATCCCCGTGTGTACTTCGAAAAATATTTTTGAAGAATGAAAGAGGCTGATTATAAGTAAGCTCAGGATAAAGTTCAAGAATGATACAAGCAACGCAGAGAGAGCGCAGAGTAAAGAAGCCCTGAACTCTGACATTACTCGGGAAACGAAGTGACTCACTTCGGTCTCTGACGAGCAGATAATGGATGTCACTGTCCGTGTCTGGATCCCGGGCGACAAGAGTGTAAACAGGGGTGTTGGGAGCGGCGTTCAGCTGCACAACCGCCTTCATCGGCAGCGGTTGGTTTATGAAAAACGGCGGCTCGTCGTTCACATCCTTTACTTCGATGATGACTCGCTGATATTCCACGTCTGATTCATGCGGGAAACAACAGAAAAAAAACTACGTTAGCATTAGCAAGGGGAACACAATTCAGGGGGGTGGGGAGTCTCCTGCCGGAGTCACACATCCCATGAAAGCCAAAAATATCCCTCCCCCACAACAACAACCAGGATCTGCCTCCGCATCGCCGCACGAAGCCTCGGAGTCTCCCTAGAAGCCCCTCTCATAGGATCACTCGGTAAGCCTCCAACTACTGTACTCCACATTCACCGCTGCTACGAGATATTTCATTTCGGAAGTTTTGAACCGAAAATACTACAAATATATCATCCACAGATTTCATACAAATACCACACTTGATCCCAGAAACGAAGACAATTCGAAAAATAGCAGACGAGATTGATCGTGATGCATTACGCTTCCTAGAAAATTAAGAGAATTCTTCCCTTTCACACCAGCAATTTTGCGCTCCTACAATTATCTGCAAGTCACATTTGTCTTCGAAAAAGAGGTTAGAGATTATTTCATAATTAATATTTTGACTTTCGAAGGTACTGTATGTATAAAACTTGCATGTAGAAGTACGGACTACGATATTAGATAGCGTAGAAGTATTGAGCTTTTTGTTAACACCAGTATTTATTTTCAAAAATATATACAGCAATGTACTACTTAATAGTGATAATACTGCACCGGCCTGTGCGTACCAAAATCGTATTCCATTACAGTGAGTCCCTGCATAACAGAAGACCCGCGCAGGGAAAAATTCGCATAAAAATTTTTTAATGAAAGAAGTGACTCACATAAAATTGTTTCACAGAGCAAAATGGTTCGGCCAACAAACGCTCAAATACAAAAAAAATTCGGAATTTTTCCAGAACTGAGAAAAACAGGAAACGAAGAAAAAACGTTCGCCTCTTCTTGCCTATGATGTTTGTGAAATTCAGAAAGGCGAGGGCACAAACTCATCAGGGTTACAGTACTTCATTTTCATACTAGGTAAAATTTCAAATTCGCAATTTTATGCTGAAACAAACAAAAAATACTGGTTCACTTCGGCCTCTCGGGGAGTGTCCGGAACAAATATAAAGAAACAACACAATGCAAACTTAGGGGAAATCGCGTTTCGCATCACGAACCCCACCCAGGCACGGATTAGTTTCGTTGTGCGGGGGGGGGGGGGGGATCCACTTGTATTTCCCTTGTTTTAAAAATTATGAGACAATCATCCGCATGGACTTCAATGATTTTGACAGATATTCTAGATCTAGAGAAAGTGCTAGTCGGGATCTAGCCGAATTGCTTTAAAAAACTGCTGAGGTTCCTTTTGAATCGATTGTAATTTTATTGGAGGAGTTGTTCATGGAATAACGACGGTCAGTCATTGATTCCATTTTCGAAAAATATTGCTTTGATCCCGCAGCCTATCGTGTACAGTATCTATCCAGTAATAATTTTCCATGGATCGGATCAATTTCGCGAAGAACGGTCCCGCAAGATGAGCATGAAACGAAGATAAGACGAGGAAGAAGTAGCTGAATTAATTTCCCGCCGCGTTAGACGCGCTTCCGGTAGTTCATTAATTAATACGCCTGAGCTACGTGGCAACACTACAAACCGTGAATGAAAAAGAAACACAAAGAACCAGCGCCACGGTGCAGCGATAAATCCCACATTCTACGCCCTCAAGCTCTTGCCAAAAAAAGCACGAGCGTCAGGCTTGCATAACTGATGGCGAGACGCGCCTGTTGCCATTCGACGCGCTACGCTAAAAACGGTCATGTTCCACCATTTCGTCCTGGGATCTTTGCCCTGGTAACACGTGGACTCATGGCAAAAATACCGAGAGAACATCAACTCGGTCACGAAAAACGCCGAAAGGCAATGCTGCAGTCAGAGTGGATTCGCACGCTCTCGACAACAATAAAGTAGAATCTCATCCTAGTTTTCAGCGAATCTCATCATTTTACTGTATAGCGAAGTAATGCTTACAAACAATTCGTTTCTTTGTCCCCGTCCGATCGCCTCAATGTTAATTTCATTTCACTTCAAAGAATTTTTGTTCGGCCCTAAACGCTTCATTGTAACGAGATTCTGCGGCATCTAGAACGTCTGTTTCTTTACCTAAAGGGTGGACAAAAATGGACCTTTACATTTTAAACGGTTTTCCGAGTTTTTGAACGTATAACACCGGAAAAAATACCGAAATGAAGCTTATTCAATCGTAGTTCTAGGAAAATTTACGTTATTCATGTAAACAGGTATGACCAGTACGCCTGTTAGAATCAATTATTCTCGAGCATATTCTTTCTTACATTGGTTGATGGGAGTCCGTTGCAAAAAACGATGCGGCTTGAAATGAATAACGATTTAGCCTTGGTTTAGAGAGAATTTCAGGCACGTGTGAGAATTTTTCCAGTCTTCCTCCCGCAAATCATTCACGGGACGAATATGAAGTACACTGAGAATCGCAACGATGGCACTTTAACATTGAATGGCCTTTAATTTCGATTATTTCAATGGCATAGATTTAGCCCTTCAAGAGAAGCAACCATACGAAAATAGGTTCTTCGTGTTGTCTCTTTCACCCTGTTCATCAATGATTCAATAAATCTAAAATGATCTTTCTATTACTGTACAACAATGATTCCACGAGAATTTCGACGACGATTCCCAGTCAATTTTCTCGTTGAAATAGACAGAAAGGTGAATGATCAGGAATACAGCGTTACATCGTACAATAAACACAGGATTTTTACTTGCGGTACGTGTTAATACCCCCATTCACAGTCGATGTAAGTATACCCTCATGATATATGTGAGGGTGTCCGGTCTTCCTTCCACAAGTGACCTTCTGACCCTTCCACACTCATGGTTTCCCACGATGCCACAAGACTGGTCCGAACATATTTGAATTTCTTCACGACTTTGAACCAAGTATGAAAATGGTCAGGGATCGTACGAAAATAGCTTAGGCGTAAGACCGAAAGAAATTGTTGAATTACAATTTTCGCAAAGGATATGGCATGGAATGATGAATATGAAAGTTACGATGAATACTGTATTTCAACGGATGAAAATCTTCTAAAAACGTATTAGTGAAAGGAAGAATGTTCACCGCGTGCAACACGGGTCTGCTGCATTTCTGAGAAGTCAAAAATCAAAATTATCTGCACGTCTTCACCATCCAATGAACTTGAAGTTCTGGGTAAAAGTTAAAAACTGCCTTTAAAAAAACGTACAGTAGTTCTAGCACACGCAATGCTTTCGCAACGATGTGCAATACGTCAAGAAAGCTGAACCACACGAATTTTTTGTTTATTTTTTTTTGCTTGGGGATATCGTGGCAAATGCACAGGGAATTTTTTTTGCGAAAGCGCGAATACAAAATCGACACACAGGTGAGATAGTGCGAATTCCAGCAAGACTTGAAGGACAACTTGCACCTAACCGCCAATCAAACAGAGAATTTTCATAAATTCGTGGCTGAATCCGGAAAACTGACGGCCGGAACTCCCATTTCCACGTGCCCCACAGCTTGACGCGGAAGAAAATTCAAAAAATCACCTTGAGGGTCCGAGAACTTGGATAACAAACAGCTTATGCTTAGCGCCACTAGATCAACACGCACTCATCATCAAAAATCATTTGAATCTGAATGGAATGGAGAGATCCGTGCAAACACCGGCTTTATTCGAAATTGGATGCAGGAATTCGCCGAAGAATGCGTTTGGTCAGCCAGTCTATCTTTACACACTGTCAGATCCTCGAGGGCTGGATGGAAAAATTGGATTTGCGTTTCGAGAGATTTTTAACAAAGGCGCGGCTGTCTTTACACTTCAGCTCCAAGTTACACGTCCTCGGGATTTCCGAGGAAAGTTTCAAGCAACCCTGCATTGACCCAACTTCACAGCAATCCTGTATTGATGAAGAATTTTTCCGAGCTTTCGGAACTAAATCGAAATGGAATCCAACTGCCGTATAGATTTGAATGAGCATTCTTTCACATGAACAAAATAAAGCGTGGAAATACGTCTTTACTCGACTGAATTATTTTCAAAAGACCAACCAGGTTGGAAGATTTGACACATTTATTTTCCTAAATGTTCATCAACTTGAAAAAATGAGGAAAATTTGACCCAACGGACTTTTGACGCATTGCAATTGTTTCGTTCTCATGAAAATTCTTCAGCAAATCGAGACCTATCATTTTATATAAGCGTATAATTGAGATGGCAACTGTATAAAAAAAACAATAAATCACTAGTCAAAAATGGAAAAAACAGAACATCTCCAATCCTTCAATTCGTTTCGAACTCAAATGTTCGGAGTACATAGCAAACGAATCTTAAACGACAATTTCAAATCACATACAGCCAACTGAACTGTACTCAAATTTAATATACATTCTCCATTACTTCCATTTACTGAAGTTTCTGTTGAAATTTGTTCGAAAACATTTCCGTTCGCTGATCGATTTACTAATGTGTTCTGTCTGGCGCCACAGACGGTCGCGTATCTCATGGCTCACAACGGATGCTGAGTCAATTCCAGCAATGCTACAAATGCGTGTTGGTTTCACTCATTGTTCTCACGTTTCCTTGAACCAGGACCGATCTGAAGAGTGTAACTTGAACCCAGAGGACCAAAAAAAAAAGTTCACGAAGAGGAGGTCGTTGTAAACAAGCACATTGAGATTCGAATAATCCAAAAAAAAACAATCCAGTACTGTACTGAGTACTCCCTCAGGGCACCCAACACAAATCTCGGCGCCAACAGAGGACAAGTTTACTTTACTCTCCAGAGGTGATGAAATATTTCACAATGACTTGCAAAGTAGTCGTTGAGATCGACATCGCAACCTATCTCGAATTTCTCAATTCCAACCAAAGTTCACGTCTCGCACTACCAAGTTACACTTCGAACGAGGGAACAGAAGACCTCGTTTTTTGATTACAATTCACGCGTCACGTTGACCCTTATTCCAGACGCAGCGAGTTCATTACGATTACTGCATTGCCTATAAAAATGTCTTCAGGACAGGGAAATTCTCTGTCCTCAGAGAATTTCGGCGGATCGCAAATATCTACTGGATTCCTTCGGGAAAACGAACGCTATACAATTCCATAAAAAACGCCCAATCGTGCACAATCCCTGAACCGCTTGAAACGCTGTAATTCCAACCAATTAAGAATGGAAAAGGATCGTCATAAGAATCCGCAGGGTGGGGGGGGGGGGTTGGTTGTTGTCCAAACTTTCAGAACAATATTTCACATGGTTTTCAACGTGTGATAATTTACTTTTTCAATTATGACACATCCATTCACTTTCCGAGATCATCCAACAATTACTATGACTATGCTTTCCATACGTTCATTAGTTTCCAAATGGCATGATTTACTGTTTCTTTAGTGGTAAAACTAATAATAGTGATTTTTAAAAAAAGTCGCTTTTTCGTTTAAAAACAAACAGCCAAAAATTATATTTAGGGTGTGCCCTGGCCTACGGAATAAACTGTTAAATGTTGAGCAGATTCATTTTGCATATTATTTATGACAAAACTTCGTTCTGAGACGGGTAGCCTGTCTCTACATGAATACTGTATAGTGAGACACAGAAATTGTTTTGCCGAGATGAAAGGAATAGACCTTCGAATGAGAAGCTACTGCACAGTCACTCGAGCATCAATGGAAGTTCTGCTGGGACCGGAGACGAAGTCCTTGTACGTAGAGCATAACTGGAAAATAAATTGTAGCTGTAAAATTCCGTCTGCTTAGTATATTATTTTTGCACGTTTAGTCGCCTGAATCCACTTCCACTGCGGAAGTCGAATTGAAAAATAAATAAATAATGATTCAAATATGCAAAGCGCTCAAATGAATTCATGCAGTAAAGGTTATGGATATCGGGCTTTTACGGGAGATCAGATTAAATTGCGAGAGGTTTACACAATAATGCTAATCTCCCTTTATGAAAGGGGTGTGAAGAGGAAATCATTTTCAAGGTGTGCATGTGTAGTCCGAAGTCAGAATTCTTCACGTCATGAGCAATTTATTTATGAAAGCTCTTCTCTTTCATGGAGGATCCCGGACGCGATTTCTTTTTCTTTTTTTCTTTTACCGACAGTGGGGAAATTATCTCAATTCACCAAGCGTGAATCCGGCGCATAGCGAGCCGGGATATTCAATTAGTCAACTCCCTCGCTCTCGTCCGTGTTCTCCCCGGATCGTCACTCGGGCGCCAGTCGACAGAACTCTGCTCTCCGCCACGGTTTAATGAACCTGATCAGAGACAACACCCAGAGCTCGCAGAGAATGCCTTTCGGGTACTGCACTGGAAGGCCATCGTAGACGAATGACGCGTGAAGTGCCCTTGGGGACTCGGCGCCGAGCTAATGGCACGGGTGCTGTCTTCGCCATTTCAACGTCGACTCGAGTGATCGTGCTTCCCTCCCTTCCCCTCATGTCAATTACCATAAGTCATTTTCTTTAGCATCCTGAAACCATGTGAATCAACTCTAAATAGCATCATCTGATACTGAAAGGAAAGACATTTCAACAAACCGTCGCTCAGGGTCCTACTTTCTAAGCATTGCTTCTGTCACGAACAGCAGCCACTGAAACATGAAACTCTCCATGCTTTGAATTTGAATAATCTTCATCTAAATTTCGCGAAGCCTATGAAGCCGCCTGCTTTTCAGGACAAAATCAAAGTTCGCGCCGTTCATAGAAGTGTGCAGAAATAAAATACTCGGGCCTCATTCCGTCCGCGGTCATCGGAGGCTATTTTACTGCATTGTACCAAGACTCTCAAGGAAGACCTTCGAAATTTGGAACAAACCTAACCTCAAGTCACATTCTTGAATTTCACTCCACCTGAAACCTCAAGTTTTATGAGGGAAGCGTGCAAATGATTATTAAAATATGAAGAACCGACATGCAAACGAGAAACAAGGCACTCGAGAAGTACATCAAAGACTCCGGAGACCATGAGGCGATGCGGCTTAAAATAATGAACAAAATCCGCGTCGAGTTCTGCGATGTACTTACATTTCACACTTGCTAATCAATTCGCAAGAGCGTGAAAAACGGGCAAAACGGAGCAAAAGGTGGGGAAAAAGGGCGTGATTACGTATAAATGTCACACATCCACGTCAGCAGGGAAGGGAATAAGCATCAAGGCGGATCTGCATAGCCGAAGGAAAAGCTGCAATTATTGAATATAACTCAAGTAGCATCGGAATGCCGACGTTCGTTTTCTTCAGATTGATTATCAAAATTGAGAAAAAATAAATTAGTATTCGAGAAAATAAAAATATTTCAATTCACCTTCTAAGAATTTTAGAGACAACTAAAATAAGATCACTCACAGCTTCACAATACAAAACGACGGATGACGAAAAGAAGGTACTGGCGCCAATAGAAACTATTACGGACCCAGACAAGCAATAACCTTGTTCTGGCAATTATCTGGCATCAGCAATAGCTTAACTGGCATAAGTACATGTAGTACAACTACGTTGTGACTTATATCAGTCAGGAACCAGATCGACTGGATAATTTCAGGAACGGCTCCGGTCACCATTAATACAGAATTTACGAATTCATCGACCAGCATTGCTTAGAGACACTTCGTTAGTATCGTCCTCCAGAACGGAGATCTCACGGCATGTTTTTGGGTAGCTTTTCGTTCAGCGGATTCATTTCCCAGTTCTTTTGGATTTAGAATATTAAGCCCAACACGAGCAGGTGAATAATTGCAGCATGAAAGTTATTCAAAGAAGGCTTTATGGAGTAGACCCGAAATCCGTTTTGGCCTTCGGGGATGTATTTAAATTTGGGCAACAATTGATAACACACGGCGAAGCACTGGAATCTCGACGTTTTTACAGTACAGTATTAGAATACTGAACGAAAGCGCTTTTCCTTCAACTGCGCAGATGGAAAATGAACATTCCCAGAAGTGCACATACCTCCAGATTGAGAATTAGGATTGGTGATTTCGACCCAAATGTTGATGTCCTTTTCAGGTCCGAGCTCTTCGTAGTCCCATTTCTTTTTCACGCGGACCTTACCATCGGGATCGACCGTGACCCAAACATTGGACGTGTCGCGAATCTTGAATATTTCCCGGTCCGACTCCTTGTCCAGCTGAAACACAACTTGGCCCTCGACAGCCCCATCTGTCTCCTTGTATTCCAGCTTTTTCGTCGGTCGGAGAGCGCTACTCTGTCGCTTAAATCGATACCGAAAAATTTCTTCGGCTTTATCGACAAGGAAGCTGCGCTCAATCTCGACAGCGTTCGAGCCTTCGTCGCTTTCGTTAGGAACGAAAAAGCTCACAAACACAATAGCAGGTTTGTCCGCTTTAAGCCTCGGCTGCGGCTTTGGTCGTTTGTCCATCGCATCCGCAATAGCCGTGAATGTGTCCGTAACGGATTCCGGCGGATCGACGATGACGATCTCCCCAGACTGAGGAACAATCACGATGTTGGAACTGTGTTGTCGCTGCTGATACACAACTTTATCTCCGTCGCGGTCAGTCGCATTTAATCGGCCAATGATTTGTCGGCTGGAAACGGGGAACGGCAACGATATGTTGACGAATTCCCGAAGAAACACTGGCGCGTTGTCATTGAGGTCTGCAACGACGATCCGCAGTTTCGCTAACACTCGTTCACCGGTCGACGCGTCAGCCGCTTCGACGCCGCATTTGTAACGCGTCCTGTCGCTTTCAGCATCAAATCGTCGTTTGCTCAAAACCAGAAAGCATCCGTCGCTCGGGTACATCGACTGCAGGGCGAAATCATTCTGGCAAGTTGACGGCCCCGTTAACGTAAGCTTCACTCGACGACTCGGTCTTCCAGCCAGGCAAGTGTCGTCATCAAAGGTCACCATAGAGCCGGGTGCAGAGTTCTCGTTGACACTACCTTCAAATAAAGGGCGCCGGAATCGCAGCATTGCTTCAGGATCCAGGATGACCGCTTCAGTCACCTCTATCTTGGAAAACTCCGGGTGTTCTTCAATAACTGTTAGGGACCCCGACGACGAGCCGTTCTTCACCAAATCGGACAAACCGGACGTCGTCATGAGCAAACCGTCCTTGGCGACGGCGAAGTGGTCCGCAAAACCAGATGGCAAAAGACGGAAAATTTGCCCGGTATAGTGATACTGTTTCACAGGATACCCGGGTTCTGCATCACTCGGAATCGCGACGATTGGCTGGTCACTCGCAGTATCAGTCAGAGGATGACTGAGACACGATTTAGCCAAAATGAACACGGCACAGCACCAAACCCACTTCAGTGGGTTCACTCTTAAACCCCGAGATCTCTTCATCATTCGATCATACTGGGGATGTTCACTAAGAAAAAGCGAACGTTCTTCTGGGAGTTCAACACTCCCGAAATCCCCTGAAGAATAAGAAAACGCGTTAATGAGCTAGCTTCAAGAATGATGAAGTCAATGCACGTCATACAGTAGTGCACACGCTTCTGATCAGGAGAGACAACGCGGTATCTTCACGCTACACCAACACAATGGTAGTGATAAGATTTTTTCGACACGCCGCAGTTTCGGCACTTGCACACGCGAGGTGACCCACCGAAAAGTGCATGAGCGTCATGCAAACGTGACATCTACCGGCAAAATGAATCTCCTATAGATTAAATATTCCTCTTCAGCAACACTGGCCAGTGACCATCCCATAAACACCTCGAACTTATTACGAGTTCATGACGACTTACGAAAACTGTGAATTTTATTTTTCCGCATTCTGCTGAAACTGACTCTGGGAGGCGGTTAGGTAAAGTTAGATTAGGTCAGGTTATCTTAGTTTAAAGAATATCTTTTCAATAACATAACCTGACCTAACCTAACTTTAGCTAACCGCCTCCCAAAATCCACCCCGCACGAGAGCCACTTGAAATATTTCCACAACAAAAAAAGAGATTGATCACCACTGCTTGTCGATGCTCAGTAAACTCCACGAAAATACAGTCGGTTCCACAGCTGAGGAACTGTTCAATTCAGATAACTTCGCTGACCACAAACGCGCGACAGCAATTTATCAGCACGAAATTCTCGGAAGTGTAACCAATGCTTTCAGCAATGACGCGTTAAATATTAACGTGTTAAATTCTCTTATGCACTGAAAATTCGCCTTCCACGAATCAGCGTATTTGAACCAACCTCACATACAGCTATGATAACTTCACCGACACATTCATCTGCCAAATTCTACGACGTTCAGCTGCTGCCAGCGGCAACACAGGATTCCGCAACTCCGCACGTCAGAGGGCGCTATCTTTAAAAATCCGCCTGACGAAGTAGGTCCTCCGGTCACATATGTTCGCAAGAACATGCCTTTTGGCTTCAGTTTTTCAATACAGTCGCCAACAGGCAATGCTCTGAAGCGAGTCCTGTAATCTGTATAGTATTTTAAATTATTGCATTTTTAAAGACATGAAGCCGTTCTGATCACTGGGTTTTACAGAAAACTTAGGCTGACAGCATAGGGTTTATGCATAGTCCTAGCAGCGAGATCAGTCAGCATGTACGTCCAGTAAAATAATGAAAAAAATTTGAAAATCAATTGGATAGACAGTGAATTTCAGAGATTTACCTTTAAAACACACATCAGCTGAGTAAATGATTTCTGATTGATCACGGAAGATAACGTTTCCACGCATAAAGTTTGCATAGTTTACCAGTCCGCCTGGACGCAGCAGCCAGGCAGAACAAGCTCTCTTTGGCAGTGGGACAAAGTGAAAAATGGCTGCGCGCTTCAGGCTCGTGAACAATCGAAGTCGACAGCCCCCACGGGACTGCGATAATTCGTGGCAACACACAAGTCTGAACGTGTCACCTTGATCCATAATAAAGAAATGTCTCTCTAAAAAAATTATCTTTGAGAATGAAGACTTATTGTAGAATTAAATGGAAATCCCAAGAGGTTACATGTTTCACATTGAGTACCCAAAATCTTACCCCTACTCAACACACTGTCTCCAGCACAAAGATCCAGCAATTTATCCAACAAACTCACACCCAGTTTTAAGAAATATAATCTTGAATAATAAGTGATTGACATATACAGCGCACTACTTACAGCTCATCATAAAAATGAGCACGTACTCCCCATTTAATTGCGTACCACATGCACACGTTTTGAAAATTGAAGAGAAGACACAGATATAGGCAGATAAACATAATTTATTGAAATTATTCTTGTTTTCAAGTCATACTCGAGTCAATTGGCAGAAAATGCAAGACTGATCTTCAACAGACAGTTGTTCAAAATCTAAGAAAAAAAATTTACTGTAACCTAAAAAAACGTAGAATTCAGCTGGTTTATATTACTGTGTTTTTGGAATTGAATTAAATAGGAGATTCATTTTGCCGGTAGATGTCACGTTTGCATGACGCGCATGCTCTTTTCGGTGGGTCACCTCTGGTGTACAAATGCCGAAATGGGTCCCAGGCTCTAAGCTGGAATGTCCCGAAAACCTCAGTTGGCTCCGCGAAAGCAGCTATCTCTGTAATGCGAAGCGAGCGGAGTTCAGCTCAAAGCTGCAACCGACCCCGGAGAAGATACGGATGGCAGCATTAATCCAAAGTTCCAAGAGCTCTCAAGCTGACAGAGAGACTGCGGAAAATATAGAGGAAGTGCGGTTCAAGAGGATCTTCGATCGTTCCCAAGATTTTCATGACTTATTGAAATCGATTTATACTACCCAGCTCAAGATCTTGACTGAATGTGATGGAGAAAAGCCTGCGTTGGTTCTTAGCGACTGTGCATATGACCTTTCGAAAGCCGTCGAAGTTTTACTTGAAGGAGGAGGAGCGCCAGCGGAAGTAAGTTTCTCACGCATTCTTGAATTTTGCATTTTTTGACCTGCTTGTGGTTTAGTGGACGGAGTCAGTTAGTCGGAAACGAAAGAAACAGCAAAGTCAACCGAACGAAGATGAGTTTCCCATGGGTGATGATCAAACATGGGATGCAGGTGATGGCGGCCGGCGTGGAAACAGTCGTGGTGCGACGGGGAGATACGGCGCCTGGCGGCAAAGAATCATTTTGCGGTCGATTTCGAGGTGGGGGACGAGGGCAAGGAGGTCGTGGAAGAGGTGTGATATACTTCGTATTTCAGGAACGTCAACTGTTCATTTCGACGATGATGAATTCCCCTTTTCGGGAAATTAAATAATAAACATTTGTTTCTCTGAAGGAGCTGGAGAAACTCGAAGTGGTGTTCCTCGGGACGGCGATGGCCCGAAGGAAGGAAGAGGAAGACGTGCAGTGAATGGATCAGGCGGTGGACGGGGACGAGGAGGTGCACGGGGTGCTGGAAGGTCGCACCGGAGTCAAGGTGATGTCGAAGGCTTCCCCGAGTCCATCGACACCTGGACCAACAGTCAAGCGGAAGGCTTGAGGGAAACCTCCGAATAGAGTGATCTCAAAGTTGGTGCGTATCGGTGAATTCACATTCTGAGTTGCTATAATGCGAGAATTCATCACGAGTGTTTTCCTCGCGATCACGTAAATGGGATGATAATTTCCCGAGTACAGATGACTGGGACAACGAGGAGTGGACTGGATCTCTGGTGGACTCGCGAGTCTGATCCACTTCCTGCACATGTGACAGCGACGGACCCTGCTGCTGCGCCGCCATCACAACCGCCGCTACAAGATCAACAGACGCCACCTCCGGGTTTGCCGTATTCCGCTGTGCAGCAGCAGCATCACCACCAGCAACCGCCAGGCACGCTGATCTCGGGGTAAGACTTTCCCAAATGTAGTGCAGCCCTTGTCTGCGCAGGTTCAAGCTCCCAAAGTTTTTCAAGAGAGGTTAACTTCGCGGAATCGTGTTTGATCTATCATTCAACTCCGGGCGGTAGGAATTATTGCTGGATTATGTATTGAGTCGATGTGTTCTATTTTAGGTCGATTCGATGATTGAACACTATGAAGGGCGGTTTGGAAGAGCAAACTGGTCAGTCCGTTAACTTGCGTTTGGGGAAATAGCGTGTCCTACGGTTAGCAGCGACGATGTGGATCAATATATTGTGTCGTTCTGTAGGGCGCCACCGGCAGGGTCCACGTCATCTGCTCAGGCGGCAGGCTTGGCAAAGGATCCAGCCGTCACATGTGTAGGGGATGTGCGGAAGGTGGCTCCTCCGCCTTCCTCGTCTGGATCTTCGAGGACATTTAATGATTTATCCAATCTTCTTAGTAATCTTACCATTTTAAAGCCGGATTTTCTCATTTTCTTGAAGGAATAATGTAGAACTTCTGGATACATTTAATTGAATTATTTAAAACTGAGCTTTTCCAGTTTATGTGGGATTTGGAAGAAATCATGCAAAAAGTGATGGAAGACTAGAAGAAATTGAATCTCCGGCATTCGGCCTTTTTTTCATCATAAATTTCAGGTTATATTTAGGCATTGGTTCACCTATTGTATAGTCTTCATGAAGAAGACATATTTATTCACCAGTAGAAATTTATTTTATGTTTGATGGGAATGGTTTCGAGAACTGACGAAGTACTTCGTGCCGCTCGTCTTGTACCGGCTTTGTGAAAACTATTGAGAATCAGTTGGTTATCCTATCTGGAACTTTCTTACCTTCAAATACCGTAATAATAATCAGTGAAGTCAAACGATTGAGTGAGAAAATGAAACATGTGCGAGGGGAAATTATTTTCTTGGGTTCTATCATAATCGGGTGTATGAGTTGGTCCTGAAGGTAAAGAATAAACCAAATGATCCCCCTACCTAATCGAATCATTGAAAGGTTGGGAAGTAGCCCATGCTACAACCAGACGAAGGTAATTTTTTCAGGTTCCCTCATTGAACAACTATCTGCAATTCTTCCTGTGATTTTTTCTACAGATTCGAACTCCTCAATGCATTGGAAAGGACGTTCTTTATTGATTAACTATGTTTTTTTCAGACCTGTTTCGCACTCCACATCAAACGCGGGGGAACAACTTTCTCATCATAAACTGGGTGCAAGTGGGGCAGGATCAGATTTATTTTATGGGAGTGTTCACTTATTGTTTGTCAAACTTTTCTTTGAGTGCCTAGCACAGAGGACATTTAAGGCTTTGCTAGCTTTTGGAATTCAAACTTCTGGTTGTGGTTCAGTTTTTTAGGAATGTTTACTATTATTTGAGCTTAGTATTTTGAGAGCCTAAATTTTACTGTATGGGTGGTAAAGATTGGTTAAGAATTGCATTGCATGAGAAGATTCATTTGTTAGTTCACGCTCACAAGATTCACTCACCCATTTTGGAAAATAAATCATTGATTAATCTCATTGCAAGTTTTTTTCACAACCCACTAGTGCATTTATATGCTTCTAACAGAAATTGAACTTCGAATTTTGTAGAATTTATATTCTAGAACACCTGTAACCATGAATACCAACACCAATAACACATGCAGTATTCCCTCCTTTTAGTATTAATAAGCATTCAGAATTAGTAGTCATCACTGATGACTGCTTCATCAGGTTTGCTGAAGTCCTTGAACTAAAAAATTTTAGAATGAAACACATTTTTCCATCAATGTGATATATTTTGACTCACGCGCATTTTGTGGTTGCACCCTTTTTGCCACCACCCTTTACACTTTCCCTTCCACCTGTTCAGTGTGTCACATCAAAGCAAGCTTTGGGTAAAATCCAACAAAAAGGCAAATCTTTGAACAAAAAACCATGTTTTATCCAGGGATCAGTGTTTGATCGTGGCGAGGTCATATTGAACTGGTCATGTGAATTGAATAAATCCTACGCAATTGCATACAATGTCCCATCTAGACCATTAATAATCTGTCAAATGCTGTTTTTCCATGCACAATTGCCCAAAAACACAGACTTTTCAGTACCAATAAATGTATCCCTACATAATTTGACAGCTGGAAGAGAATGAAATGCTCTTCATATTGTAAAAAATTATTTTTAAAGTTTAAAATTAAAGAAGCATGAGAACATTACATTTTTTCGTGCATTCTTCCATAAAAAAGCATTGTGTGAGTCTTCCCAGACCCTGTTTGTCCATAGGTGAAAATGCAGACATTGTAGCCATCCACAGCAGATTGAATGAGGCCTCATACATTGCAGAAAACCGTGTCCTGTCCATCATTTGGCCCAAAAACTGGATCAAAGCTGAATGAATGTCAACTTCCATCATTGGACGCTGCCACAGACAGGCTTTGCAAGTCCCTACACATAACAATGGCCCATTGCAAGAAAACCATATTTTCAAACAATCAGAAAACCATATTTTCAAACAATCAGAAAACCATATTTTCAAAAAATCAGAAAACCATATTTTCAAACAATCAGAAAACCATATTTTCAAACAATCAGAAAACCATATTTTCAAAATCCAAAAATGGAAATTCTGCCCATCAATTAGTGGGACACTTGCATGCACCAATGGGGGATGCAATGCATCAATTAGGGGGGTGCATTCATTTTCCCCCCCTTTGGACCCAATAGTAATTATAATGCAAGATGTGCATTATACAGGTATAGAATCAAGGAATTTCCTTGATATGATAAGGTGCATTACTCACACATACTTACATACAAAACTTGGGATTTTCAGGAGCAATAAAGTTACCTCTACATGACTTGACAGCTGAAAGAATATGATCATCCTTTTTTAAACCAAATATCTGAGGAAAAGGGTATGAAATTCATGGAAACGAAGAAAAGTAGCTTTCTGTGCATATAAATCTCATGCATATAAGCTAATTTGAGCAGTATATTAAGACCTGAAAAGCTTGTCTAAAACACGTGGGGCAATGCCTGGATTTGCATCATCCCTGAGCATTGTGTGAGTCTTCCCAGACCCTGTTTGTCCATAGGTGCAACTCCTGCAACCAGGAACAATCAGAAAACCATATTTTAAAAATCCCAAAATGGAAATGCGGCCGATCAATTAGCAGGGTGCTTTTGCATGCACCGCCAATGGGGGATGCAATACGTCAATTAGTGGGGCGCATTCATCCCCCCCCCCCTTTGGGCTCATTAGTAAGTATAATGCAAGATGTACATTGTACAGGTATAGAATCAAGGAATTTCCTTGATACAGTTAACCTCTCTAAGTCAAATTTCAAGGGACCAGGAAAAAATTCAACTTAGGGAGGTTTTGGGGACAACACAGAAAAAAAAATTCAGGATGAAATATTGGGCGAGAATTTGGTATAACACTGGGAAAGAGCATATATTGATCCCCTACATGTATTTAAGCATGTATTGAAGTATGGTTAGATATCTGTTGGAGATCAATATATGCCCTTGCCCAGTGTTACACCAATTTCTCCCCAATATTACATCCTTAATTTTTTTTTGTCCCCAATATTTTTTTCCTTGCTGACTTAGGTGATATGTTTCAAATTGCTAAGTCCTTATAAGTGCGCCTTAAATTAACCTCATATTAAGAAATTATTTTTCAACAGACTTTCTGGTTATGAAAAAATTTTGTCCCCAATTTTCAATTCAATTTTCAGATTTGTTTCCCGAATTTCTGAATGTTTAGTCCCTGATTTTTGTATGATAATTTCCTGAGGCTCATCATCCCTAGACAGTGGACAGGAAATGTGTCTACAGTGGAATTATACACACTTGAAAATACAGGAAGCTAAAAATCGGTTGCATTAGCTGACTGATAGGAAGCCCATAAAATATGTGTATCCCAATTAATCTAACATCCAACTTCTCATGAGTCTGGAAGCACAGTGCCAAGCTACCCACCAAAATCTGTGAAAATCTGTTATTTTTCCTCTTTATCCAATGCTCTTCTGTCTTTGAGTTCTTTTTTCAATTTTAAATTCATTGTCAAATTTAACCATGTCATGAAAGACTTATTTTTGCAGATATTGCAGATAGAAAAAATGACTACAGTATTATAGGCAATAAAATGCTTTTGCAAATGAGCAAGTATATTTCTGTAAATAGATCCATCAATCCGCATTAAAAAAATATTCATTCCAACTACTTTTTTTCAGTCCTTGGGAGTTCCTTCTAATGCGATTCAACTGTAATCTGAATAGTGACTGCTGCTACCTTGAAAATTTTAGGGAAGCAACGGGTGCATGCAGGACTGATGAAGAATTACTCTCTCTGAGGGCCGTGTGTTGGGCAGCATTGAATGGAATGATTTTCCATATAGCACGTTAATATGCGAAATTGCGCATCACATATATGTAAAGACATATACGTAAGGTATCAACCATGCAGCAGAATATACATGGTTTGTTGCTCAAGTAGTCATGTCCAAGCACTGTAAACTGTACAGAAACTGATTCTGTTGGTATCAGCTATAGCTGGGCTTGTTTATAGCTTTATTCGAAGTGCATTGAGCGAGAAACTCCGCAGTACTAACAGCCGGTTTTGATTTGAGTAAGTGCCCTGGTCCTCGTTGGACAAACGGTGTCCATGCAGCTGCATGGTAGCGTAGCGGCGATAAGTTGTCATGCCACGCTGCGTTATATTGGAGGGATTAGCAGGTCCGGGTACTGCAGCTAGCCCGCCGATGGTGACGTAGCCGGGTTTTCTTGGCACCGGGCCCCGCGCGGGCCAGTGCCAAGAAAACTTGCGGCTCGCTCACGAGGCAAGCCGTCGTGACGGGCGCCGGAAAATGGGTTCGGGCATCACGCGAGCAGACGAGATGTGCGCGTGGACGCGGCCAGGTTGATTGTGTGTACGCGGAAAGGTGACGGCCGGGGGTTCGGGGGGTTCCCATATCCGTGGCTGCACGGTCTCCACTAGCAGTGTAAAGTCTTCGTTTCTTGATGTTGGTGTTCGGTGGAACTCTGTTCGTCTCGGGATGCGAACACCGAGACATTGCATTTGTGCTTATCTCATATCCATTTGCTCCTTCCAGCACTCTGTATCCATGGAAGCATCTGGAGAATGCTTGCTCGCCCGCTGCGCGTGTTGTTGTACCTAACGCGGAGCGTTCATGTTCAAGCTCACGTAAACTTATACCGGCTTGAGAAGAGATTGAATTGGACGAAAGAGAAGCTGACCAATGTATCGATGCAAATATATCATTTTTCCGAATCAATAAGTAATCCCTCTGTTGTATTATTTCAAATTAGTGAAAATGAAAACTTTCGAACCGCCGGCGCCCTCTCTCTCTATATATTGTCCTCTCCGTTCTGCTGCTGCTGCTGTAAGCGCCTTTCATAGTTGTTTTATCCTCGGATCAAATTGCCCTTCTATTATGCATGACAAAACCGAAGGGTTTGAATGATCAAACAGGCACTAGAAGGTTGAAGGTAATATTTGAGTCTTCTTGGGGTAGCTTCGCCTTCATCCAAGCTCGTGACTGAGAAGACGATTTATGAGGAGAATGCGAGCAGGGTTTACCAGTGGCAAATGTTTAATGCGATGGGTAAGGCATTTCACCCCGTATGCATACGTGATTTTCTGGATTTGCTCCTCCTATTCGTCCTTCAGCGTTTACGTGAGCTTGGGCAGGAATTCGGCTTGCTCGTGTGTGCATAACCTCATTGTTCTTCGACGAAGTCCCCGGATTGAGTTCTGCTGGTGAAAGAATAACACTTGGCCAACTGCTGTATACTGTACAGGTGTCGGGAAGTTCATCTTCGTTTTTACTCAAGAACCTTCGCGTCATCATGCAAAAGCTTCTGGATTTTTGAAGATAAATAAATGTATTAGCTTCTGTTCGGAACTGCAGCTGAAAATTTTGGAACCGCTGCGATACAATGGGAGCCTAACTTCTCATGAAATACCAATCAAAACATGTACGCTTCACCCAGTGCTTACTTTGCCTGTCTCATGCTCTGATGACCATGTATAGTATGACTCAACAAATAATTGACCCAACAAAAAATGTTCCATGCGGGTTGATACCCTGCAAGTAATATGCAGAAGCACAGAGATGCAAGGCAGTTTTAGACGCAAGGAGTATTTAAAGGCAGAGAAATGTCATGCGCTGATCATTCCACATATATACAGTACATCGTAAAGTAAATCGAACATTTCTACATGCACGCGGAGTGTCGTAAGTTCCGCGTTCAAGTTTGTTTTCCCGAATTTTATTGATTCTTATGATCTTTGATAGGCTGTGTGGTCATTAACATTTTACTTGAAGCTCATTATTGAACTTCTTAATTTGTGGTAAACAAGTTTCATGGTCAGGTGTTTCGGTTCAGATAACGCCTGGAAGGAGCTGATTTATTTTATTCAAGCATCGGAAATCACTCTTTTCCGTAAAAATTAGCAAATACAAAGCTTATTATTATTATTTTTTATTTGAAGGCTATTAAAAAATAACTGCGAAGATTTTATCGGAGGTAAAGGGACAGGTTGACTGACTTCAGTTCAGACGTGTTTCAAAATTAGTTCGCGTTTGAAGTTCGCTTACTTTGCCGCTGCAACAATAATAAAATTTCAAAGCATTCTTGCAAATTTTTTGATAAAATGATTGGCTTTATTCTAAATATGCGCTATACAGCACTGCAATTGTGTTGCTTAATTAGTTTTATGCCGGGTGTTTCACGAAGTGTGTCAATTGGGAATAAGTGCGAAAATCGAATTAGGCAACGTCCCCATCCTTTCGATGAAGGTCTGCTATTTTCTTTGTGTGCAAATACTGTATGCACAAATTTCACAGGTTATCTGCACTGTGCTGCTTTTCTGTTCTGTGAGACTTTCTGGGTACTAGCTTATTCAGGGAACTTGTGTACAGCATTACACATAGGATCAAGAATTATTGTTGAAACATACAGTCAGACCTCTTTGAGCAGAATTTAAAGGGACTGACAAGAAATTTTAGAGGTTTTGAGTTATGGAGGACAGGGGAACTGTACAGGGTTGATAATGCCGTGTACTGAAAAGAAATTGGGTTATGGGCGGGTTTGCTTTGAACAGGTCCAATACTGTATTTCAAAGTTCCCCAACCACACAATATTGGTTTCAACTGTGTCCTGTCTGTTGGAAATTTTCATTTGTGCCTGCTATTGTTCAAACATCTTTTAAATCTTGCATTATTATTTCAATACGTAACAAATTTTACCATTAAAAAATTTTAGCATTAACACCTCATGTAGTGCCCTAAGTAGTGTGGTAATACCCTACCACAAGCTGGCCTTGATGCCATTTGTTATTGGATTTCCGTCTTTATTTCTATGGACCAAACCGCATACTTATTCGCGGCTTCCTTTTAAGTCAAATCGTGTTTTAGAATCGTCTCGGTACCGGGTTTTTCTTGCTATTGTCCATCTTGTTTTCGTCTTCCATGGTGCATGGATGCTCGGCCGATGCGTTATCGCGAACTGGTGGTTTTCCGCTGAAAGAAACCGCGGGTCGAAGTGAAGTTGCTCTCGAAGGCGTTGTGGGTCGACAGCCTCAAACCGAACCGGTCCTATCCGGCATTACGCATCCGAGGCTGGCGCCAGTCGGCAGCGATATTCGAAAACAACTACTGACGAGTTTCTCCGTCGACAGGGTGACCGTGCTTTACAGCTCCTTGAGTGTTTTTCCTCGATAATCGAGCAGTGGACCGGGTGTGACCCGGAATAACTCTTCTCTGGTGGTGTTCGTTGCCCATGCGTGACCGGGGTCGCATGGCTTCATGTAGTGTATATGAAGTATATTGCACGTTCTTCTCCGTTGTCGGTATGCGAAACTTGGGTTGAATTTTCTCGCGTCCGCGAGTTGTGTCGAGCATAGTGTTCGAAAGATTCTGCGAGACGAAAAGTAAATAAGCTTTTAAGGATTCGCGTCGAAGTGTACGGTGGCTTGAATTGTGGTGCGTGAAATTACATTACTCATCTTTTCTCCCGCTCACAACCTTATAGGCTATCTGTGTTCTGTACCGCTCATTGTCAACGCAGCAATCATGGCCAGCATTTCCGGTGAGTTCTGAAGTAGCATCTTTCTTTTGTTCTCCAAAATTCTTGGAAGCGGTTCAAGGCGTTCGGAAAAATCTTCGCGAGAAACGTGATCGGCACGTGTTTTTTCGTTTGCCAAAATTTTTTCGCCGAACTGGGTAACCGACTAACGCTCATCGAGATAACGAAATAAGTGAATACGAAATTCTTCGAGACTCGAATACCATACTTCTATAGTGATTGTGTGTGACAAAGAACGCGACATTCGAGATTTGCTGGGTTAATCACAGTTGCACGCGCTGTAATATTGTTCGAGATCTCGTGTTCCGTGCTAGTGCAGTACTAGCTGGAACTATGGTTGATGAGGAGTGACTTATTCGATGTTAATTACCCACTTCACGAAAACGAGTTTTCGTTGAGTCCCACCATCCGCTCACGATGATGCGGTGATATGAATCATTGGGGATAATTGACGCGAGTTTGAGAGAGAGGAGACAGGGTAGAATGTGATGGCTCCATCGAACCCCAGCGACGCTCCTATTTCATTAAGAATCCTTGTTAGGTTTTTCAACTAACTTGATGCTGGTATATAACCTATTAATTCCATGTCAAAGGTGGCCGCTTCCAGGGGATATCCGATTTCATGTTGTACCTACTGGGTTAAACAGCATGCAATAAAGACTATGCAATCGTATACTGTTCATATTTATTCAACATTTCGCGTAGGAAATTGAATAAAGATTTCACGCGATCCACTGAAACCTACTCTCGTTTTTTCAGCGTAGCAAAAATTAGGTTGCTGAACATGAAATTATGGCTCCGCGAGAATAGGCCCCCAATGAAAAGAGACCTGGTTGGCGGGAAGAAGTACAATACGGTGAAGGGACCCGCTACGAAAATTCCCCGGGGGTAGGCGGGTCAATTGGACCAGTATGTTAGGGAGTTATGGTCAGTTTTATTGGATGCTGTATTTCTTTCAACAGCTTATTTTCACTGCAAGTAAAAGCACCTTTGTAGACTGATGAGTGTTTGTTTTTATAAGATTTTTAATGTCATTTTGAGTTTAAAAGAAAAACTAGCTGGTGGTAACACAATATTCTATTCAACATTTCCAAGACGTGCAATATTCCTTACAAATATATGCAAGGAATACAGTATTTATTAAAATGTGTGGTTTGTCTGGTCCATGTGTATCTAAATCTGTGTCACTGTGTGCTAACTGATGACCATCACTCCCTCACCTGTTGGTCACGCACAGTCCCAATTCCCCCTTACTTTTTTATAGAGGTCCCTTTTCCACCCCGGAACCTCTTCTCCCGCGCCCCTTTTTGCCGGGGACCTATCGTCGGGGAGTGGATACAAACTAACCTAGCCAGATTTAACTAGCCATAATCGTTTCAGTTGCCGAATATATCCTGAGGTAATGACCTGTATTTAACCAGTTCTGTGGGATAGCTCATATTCTATTCAATTCTATGTTTAGTTGCTTACTTTATTTATCCCTTCCGCCTACATCGGGTGCCAGCCAGTCTACGGATAAGCATATGAATGCACAGGTGAAGCATTGCGGAGACAGCTAGTGCATGAAATGATGAATAATCGTAACTGCCAATACTGTATCGTGAATATTAGCATTTATCGTGAAATATTTGGCTGCAAAAGCACACGCGCATCTATTGCGAACGCATTATTGGCACACGTTTTTTTATAGGTATCGTCTACTTCTGTAGAACTTGCTCAGGTTTGGCTAATGCTGCATACTGTACTACAGTTCAGGTACAAACTTCGTACAGTATATTATTTATCATCTCTCCGTGTATTTCATCGCACGGGCTTCTTCGGTTCGTGTAACTTATCAAATGGGATATTTACTGCCTTTTTTTTAATTAAAGAGATTTCCGAACAAATACTTCACTTTTTACAGCTGCATGATCGACGATTTCCAGGATATTCGACCCACACGGCTTAAAATACCCCTCTTCAGACGAGTACCAATAAAGAGCATTCCGGCAATGGTTTCTTCAGTCGTACTACTTTCTGCTGATTTTCATCCTTTTTTCTGCGAAGTCATCATTTCCGGAAGTCCCCATTGCTCACAGAGATAATCAGCCGATTTCCGAGTACTGTATAGTACGTGATATGAAACCATCTTGTCTGTTCATTCTGGAGGACGTTTGGTGAACAGGTGAGAGCGGGACCACGTTGCTTTATCTCGCGTAATTCCACTCTTATTATTATTGTTCATCTTTAAGATTGAGAGAAACAGAAGGAAAGTTTGATTTTGAAAAAAATGAAAAATCAAGGTTGAATCATCATGCAATTCCCCATCAGCCCTCGTTTTTCTTTTGCGACTGCTGTTCAGGAATTTGCTTGATCCGTCCTGATCGGTCTTTCCTGGTGACGACGGAGACATTTTTACTGCTTACATATGGTGCTTTTTTTTGTGAACTTTTCTTTATTATCTCATGATTGTGTCAAAAGCATATGATGTTCAATGTTTCTTATGGTAGCAATAAAAAAAATACTCGATTTAAATGAGTTTCACCTCATTGACTAAAGTAGTATACTGTAGGTGAGTGAATTCTTCACCGGATCCCCTCTTTTTTGAGGGATTGAAAATTATACTGAATCTCGTAGTGAACAAGGCAGAATATACAGTACGTTTTATCACGCATTGAAATAATTGCAGAGTTAAGATGCAGTAGATTTTTTTCATCTGCAAATACTGTACAGTACTGTGCATTGCACTTCTCTGTTTTATTTATTTGCTTGGACAAGTGACAGAAAGTGTTGCTGTGGACTATGAGGTGGATCTGGAGCCACGCCCCTTTGCCGGTTTTCCTCATCAGATGAGCACAGGCTGACCGCGCGTTTCGCGGGCTTCTTGCTCTAAACTTCCATCCTATGTCTGGCATCCCCCACGTTCGCGTAGAATTGCGTTGGGGAAACGCTTTCCAAGTTCGCATGAGATTCGGAGAGCGTGAGTTTTCAAGATAATTACCCGACAAGAAGGCTTGATGCTATCCGTTAATCTGTTGTGTTGATGAAAACAGTATTTGTTTCACGCTGGTGGACGAGAACTCTCCTGATGATGTGATGAAACATGAGTTCGAATGCACGTTATGAAGCGTGAACTGAAATCGTCTCGTGTACAGCGTTCGTTTCCTCCAAGCTTAGCTGAAGTCAATTATCCGAGAATGAGAGATTTGCAAACAATTCGCACCACTTTGTCCTTCGAATCATGTGAAATCGCGAGCTCCATAAACTCTGGTTGAGTCGAAGTTTGAAAGATTCAAGATAATTAGATTCTGTACGTGACCCGAAGTCGCATTTGTAACAAGCTTGACCAAATAGTTTGCGTTCATACCTATTCTGTGTCAAATTTTTCGTATTTTTGACGTTGTTTAATCGTTGCCACAATGCAGATCATGAAGTTTCTGCCAGATTTTGGTGTCGAAATGGAGTCCTTCTAGGTCGATTTCCCGGTGACGGTGGTAGCATGGTTCTCAGCAGATTTTAAAAATCTTGAAATTCAGCGGAAGATGCTAGCTGCTCTTGATTCAACAGCGTGTACTGGGTATTTTAACCCTCTTTTTTTCCAGGCTAAAGGTGACCTTCAAGTATTCGGATCTTTGAAGTGGAATGCGATCTGGTTGACAGAATAAAATTGTGTAGGCGAAAGTATTGACGAATGAATGTGCCAGTTGATATACTGTAATCTCGATTCTCTTCTACTTTTTAAATGTTTCTGCATTTCAACTTTCAAGGTGTAAAGTCGTATCTGAAGATCTTAAATGATTTGAAGTTGGGCTGAGGATTCCGCGTCAGCCAATGACTCGTGTTGATCGAGGAATTTCAACTGAACTGTGGAGAAATTTTCGCTTATGTAAGATCGAAGTACACGTTCAGTACCACGATGATAACCAATTCCTTTGCATTCGAATTTATGGCAAATACAAGTTTTCAACCTCGTTACGAATAACCAATTTTATTATTACAAAGGTGATGGGTCTATGTGTGTGTGTTTGTGTGCTTTGCATTGCAGCATGAAAATATTCACAAAGGAAACTGAAATCCCAGTGTGCCCGTTCAAAAATGTAGTGCGGTTCCCGAGAAAGGAGATCTCGCGTTTCATCTGGGTACGGAACGAAATGCTTAAAAACGTTTGGTGAACCTAACTTCGCTCTCTTCTATGCCCAGTGTGAGCATAATACAGAAGCTTTTTTTTTTCATCCTAATATTTTTGAACCTTGTGTTCCAGGGGTGGAAATCTTAGGTGACCACTCTATGTGGTTGCCCGAGTGTGTTTGTTGACATGCTTTTGCCAACTGAGATCTGTGCTCCTTCTCTCTGGTGAGCTTTCACCTCACTTTGAGGTAACAAATGCCTACAATTTTCGTTGTAGTCATTTTGCTTTCCTCGAATGCCGTCCTCCGTTGTTCCTGTTTGTGTCGTTCCGATTTGAGCATCATATTAGGTCATGCAGTGCATTCCAGTACTGTATATATTCATTTTACTGATTTCGTCTATTGGGTTAATGATCCAACTTTCCAGAAGCTATCGGAGGAAAAAACTTCACGAAAAGATTTTTTTGAAACGTGATCAGAATTTGTTTCACGGAATATTCTTATTCGATTTACCGTACAGTATTGGGTATTCAGTGAAATCTGCAAAGCGTGGTGAAGATTGGCAATTCAGTGTTGCGAAGTATTGAAAGATACCTGAACTCAATTAACTACTGGGAAAACGGGTTTTGTCCCGGAAACTTGTTCATGCTGTAGCTGTTAACTGACGTAGAATTTCCTTCCGAAAGATTGTTATTTTGTGCATATGGATGAGAAAAAAAACTAATACGTGCTTCACGAAGAGGAATCTGGTTTTCAACCATCTCTCGTTCATTTTGATCTCTGAATGTTGCCCAAGGCATGTGGGCATCTTTTTTTTTTTTTTTTTGCATGGCGTGCAGCATGAACCGTGTTTTTTGTCGTGATGTAAGCGGAAATATTATACAGTACAGTACTTCA